TGTGAGAATCAAGCCTTGGAGGCCATAGGATCATTGCCCAAACTAATCCATCCAACCCCTATGAACTCCATTTCGAGAGCAAGAGTTATTGGAGCTCTTAGTGGATATTTTCCAGCGATTTCCATCACTTCCATGTGGAGAATCGCCTAATGACATACAAGCCAGGGTAGTGGTCATGTAGCCTTAAGATTATCCAAAAGAGAGAGAATCTAGATTAAGACCATAAGCAAGAAGGATTAAGCATATGAAATCCCCTAATCTATCCCATCTCAAACCCTAATGGGTAACTACTCACTACACATGTGAAATAAACAACCAAATGCATTAAAATAAACATCAAATGAAAGAGGAGATAAAATAAACAACTTTTATTGAAATAAGCAAGTGCAAATACAAAAGAGATTATCCAGGATCTAGGATTCAAGAAGCAAGAGCTTCAAGAACACAAAGATGGGATTAGAGCTCTAAAAAGTAAAAGACAATAATTAAAAAGAAACTAAAACAAAAAGTAATCTAAAGCTTGGTGGTTTTTTCGTGGCTTTTAGCCTTTAAATACAAGAGGATTTAGGTTTAGGGTCAAAGACAAGTCAAGGGGGAAGCAACATTTTTCGGGTTTGACTTTGACTTCCCAGCTCGATCGAGTTGAAGCTTGGCCGGTTGGTCGAGTAGATGGTCGAGCTGGTCTTCAAGATGGCTTCCTCCTTCTTCCTTTGCGTATCCAGTTGAGCTGCGTCCATGCATCAAGTCCTTCCATGCTCCTCACGTCCCATATGCTCCAGAATGCTCCAAAAGACCTATTTCAAAGGACCAAACATGCATATGTATGCAAATGCAACCTAAAACTACTATGAATGCATAAGAAGAGAAAAGGAACAAGATATGATGCTAATGGATGCTAAAACTATGCAAAAGATGCATAAAAGATGTACTAAAACCATGCAAAATGCAAGTACATCACCGCCCAAGGCCGCCCAAGAGAATCACCAGACCACACTCAAGGTCACGATGAGACAAGTACCAAAAGACTATGTCTCAGGCCGTGCCCTTACCCCATCTCTAACTAAGAGATCCTATCAGTCAAGCTAATCACTCAAAACAAGCGCTGCATGGGAGGCAACCTATGAAATGTGTTTTTCTTATCTTTTCTTTTCAATTAGTTTTAGTTAATGTCTAGTTTTGTTTTGAGATTTGGATACAGGAACCTAAGAACCACACAATGATAAAGAAGATATACCACAAGGAAGAATGCTCATAGTTGGCGCGACCTTGATGGCCGAGCAGAACCTCTCCACGCTTGCCCATGTCCTCTCAAGTCGCCCAACACACCAGTCCATCTCATTCCATCTGCATCTCGCCCATCCCACCTACCACACTTGCATTCATCTACCTCCATAATTCCACTGCATACACCATTCTTCAATTCATAAACCAAATCAGGTTACATCTTTCTTTTTACATTCACAATCGCCTTATTACCTCTTTCTTTAATCCCTTAACTATATCTTAACCCGTGCTTGGAAGCACGGGATGTTGTAATTTTTTAAAGGAAAATTTAAATTATTGACACTTCGCTTCCGTATATCATATTAGTGTATGTTTTTGATATATATTGACACTTCGCTTTAACCCTAGAGTTGGGAAGCATGGAATGTTGTGATTTTTATATATATTGACACTTCGCTTCCGTAAACCGCAATTAGACCTACACATGGGAAGCACGAGATGTTATAAATTATTTAAAGTGTTTGTCATATATGTTGAGGAACTAGTGTTATTGTTATTATATATGTATTTAATGTTAGCCGTTACCGCTATCTATCTCGGAGATGAGTGAAGAAAATAAAACCGGTTTCAATGACCGAACAGTATAACATTTATATGTGTCGATTTGCACGACGGTGTCAGGATTTACCTGGTGAGTTATAATGTAAAAAAAATTTGGCATTTGACATTCCGTTTTTTTTTATTACCATTTCTTCAAAAAGTAAATTTATATTGTCTTTATATGGTTTTTTTTGGTGATATGTTGTCTATTAGTTAATACACCAAATTTGATTGTATTTTATTATTATGTTTTTTTTTAATTTATTAATTTTTTTTTTTTTAAATCGAATTCCTTCGATCCTGGTTAACCGATGTGATCATGGTTTGCTTCGATCCTGGTTTGCTTCATGAGATCACGGTTTGCTTCGATCCTGGTTAACCGAGAATGCTTAATTTTAGATTTTTCAGAAACACTGTCGTTTCTTCTGTCTCTCATTCTTGTCTTCCGATCTTCATCTTCAAGGTCCGAAACCAGTTTCTTTTGGTTCTGAGCCCATGATCCAACAGCTTATAGCTGCTAAATGTCTTCGATTCTCCTCCGCTCTTCTCATACGCCTCCAGAATAGTCGATTTCTACTCGCGACAGCCTTTGGACATCGAACTTTAGCTCAGGTAAATCCCGAATCTCAAGAGATTTCCTTTGCGCACAAATCTCAGCATTTTATCTTCGTTGCGAAATCAGATAGCCATTTCCGTTGATTTGGTGATAACTCAATTGATAGGACAGCGAATTAATAGTAATTGGATTCCTATTGATATTGATTCTTTTTTTTGGTCGTATATTGATAATGATTCTAGTTATGATTCGGAACCCACCAAACATCCATAAGTCTGTGATCTGTTTTAAAATTATCGGACATAAACTGAATGTTAATTTGAGTCCGTATTGGAAACCATCTATATTAATGTCAAGCATGAAATCAATTTAAGATTTGGTGACACATTTTTTTTTTGTCAAGGAGACATAGGGGCGTTTCCCGTGATCATCGATGCAGAGGATATTGCACGGAAACATTGATCCTCGATTCCATTAAACGTCACTCCAAAATAGTAAGGTAAACATTCTTTGCTTCCCGATAGGGTTCTAGAAAATTTGATTTCAATGTTGGTTTAGACAGCTGGTTGTCAATTGTTTGTGTAATGAATTCTTTGTGTTGATAATGACATAGACTATGAGATAAAAGCGGTATGTCATTAGATAGAAACATAGGTTATATCACAACATAAAGTAAACATTGTGCATTAAACTGAAACATCTTCGGAAATTTTCGTAGACAGTCCACTATGCAGATCACTTTTTATTGTCGCTTTTACAACCGTTAAAGTAATCAAATTCCATTTCTTGTTCTTCCACTTCCTCGCTGTCTTGATCAGAAGAGCACCTGCAGAAACGAATTTACTTGTAGTAGGCTATAATATGAAAGGTTTGATCTTTTTAGAATCTACATATTAGATAATGTCATAGGTAGAATTCTTACATTATATCCGTGAAGTAATCAACCTCATCGATTCCAATAGGATTGAATTCAAATGTAGAGATTCCTTCTTCACTTCCGACATGAACAGGATCTAGACATATACGTTATAACATCAAGTCACAATAAATATAAAAAACTTGTATTAGTCAAGGGAGGAAGCTTCTTTAAAATAAATTTCGATATACTAACCGTCTATCCCAAGAATCCGCCAATCAGTTAAGAGACATACTATGGTCTCCGTTTTACCATAGTAGAGCCAAAATCGTAAAAATTTAGCTGCTAAGGCGCCCTTTGCACGGCAAAGTATTCGAACCCCACTAAAGAAATGGAAAATTGTTCAAGTATATAGAATCATAATTCAGAAACTGTAAATATGTTAAGAAACTTAAGGGTCTTATAGATATACGTACTCGTTATCCTGGAGGGTGAAATCTATCGAGTTAGTGATTTTTGGAGCATCGTTTAGTGTGTTCCTAGGAATAGAGTCATCTTCCGTGAGCTTGGTGATCTTCACTTCATATATAAACCCTAGAAAATCTACAAAAAGAACACATAGATAAAGTTAATATATTGAAACCACATTCCTTACAGGGATCTTTGACTAACGAAACGAAAATGAGAAGTAAGAAAAAGTAACCTCTGGTAAAAGAAGATTGAACATTAGAACTGTAGTCTAAGACATATTCATAAGGCAGAATGTCTAGGTGAACAAAAACATCGAAATCCGCTGCAGGTGTGACTTCGGTGTTGGACGTTAGAGCAATCTTCTTTCTTGCTTCTGTCAATCGGAACTCTGTATCCACCATAATAACTGAAAATCCGGTTAGAATCTTGCATTCCCCTTCATGAAGACATCTCTTAAACCTATTCATCTGATTTGCTTGTTCAACGAATGCTTGCATCTTTGTGCCCTGACATTGGTTATAAACTTCCATTAGGACAAAACTTTTGTGTCAAAAATCTGTTTTATATGAGATTATTTGTAAAGACTGAAAACAAACCTGATTGTCAACAAAAAGAAAACTTAGGCCTTCCCCCTGATCTGCCTCCAACGTATCCCACATCTTAGAAACTCTAACCAAAACACTCGAATCATCTTTGTTAGGTGAGACATCGTCAAGTTTCTTGAAGTTTGCCATTGAAATTCTGTTTTGAGATTTAGAGTACTTTGTTTTCTTCTCTTAACCCTAACTTCGGAGAGGAATCTGCGTATATATAAGAATAAAATCAGGGTAGAGAGTAGATCCCGTCGGTTGATATTAAACGACGTGATGGTCAAGCTTTTTTCCTTTTCTTTTTTTATTTTTTTGCAAAATTTTCGTATCTATTGGTAACTATGGCTATTTTCCTTTTCAGTTTAGCGATAAAATCCCGGATTTGACGTTACAGTTAATATTGTTCGTGAATATTCTTTTAACTATTACTTAGTTGGAAAAACAATCTATCCACTATGGTTATTTACGAAACCAACATTCCAATATTATGAGGATCTGACCAGAGAGTTTATATTTCAGTTACTTCCTCCGTAATTATCTACTGACATGTAAATTATTTTGATTACATGTATATTTCCTTTGAGGTTTTATATTCGTGAATATTCTTTTAACTACTACTTAGTCCGCAAATCTTGAATAAGTAGACAGAAGTTTTATTATTAGATAGATATGCAAGTAAAACATGGTGAGTAGATAGTTCATGAAAACTTCTCAAGCAAACATAAACAGAAACAATATTAAGTTGAAAAACAAATGTGGCAACCCAAATTTCGATATTAAGGATCATATAGTAGAATTTCATGGAGATAGTACAACCACCTCCTCAACGGAACCATCACTGTCATTGAAGCTGCAAGAAATTTGTTTATCATCATTTGTATTAGTAAATATTGAATGTTTTTGAGAACTAATGTCTGTAAGGATTGAAGATAATAGATATCTAACTTACTATTCAGCGCTGAAGTCATAAACATCCTGATAGTTAGCATTGAACTGAAATCTAGATATTCCTCCAGCGTCCTTAATCTTGAGCTCTCCGGTTCCTATGATTTGTTTCAATTAGTGGTTGAATATAAGAAATAGATACACTCGTAAAATAATTCATTAGACTAAAGTTTCATACTTTGTTCTAGGTAAACCATCCAGTCACTCATTGTAATGAATGTTTCTGTTGAACCATGCCTCCACCATTTATCATGTATTTGAACAGCCAAGACTCCATAAGCTTTGCATTCCATTGTTACTCCACTATGATCCCCAACATGAAAATGACGATTACATTAGTCAGATATAAAGAAAAAGTCATAACAGGTTTATATTTTTAAATCCGAAAAAACAGAGCTTGCTTAACTTACTCTAAGCCTTTGATGGTGAACATAACTCTGGAAGTCTTCTTGTTATTAGCTAGTGTAAAGTTGTGGTCTTTCACAACTTTAAGCTCATCAACGTCATCTTAGATAGCCTATAAGGTCTAAGGGTTTTGGATAGAGTTGTCAAAGGATTCGTTATTAATTCAACAAACGGACTACAAATATAAGGAGATCAAAAAATATGTTGTATATTTCATTGACCAGCCACAAGATATTTATTGACTTACCAAGAGGATGATGAGAGTTGTACACGCAATTCTTTATGCCTGTGTAGTCCTTGAAATTCATATAGTGCTCTTGATGAATACCAATTGCTGCATGCAGGTCCGTATTCTCGGTGAAGACGATTGTATGTTGATTTTCGGAGAAAAGCTCCTCAGGTGGTGTTAGCTGGACGACGAATCCGGAGATTAGTTTCCAGTGGCCCTCGTGCACATTCAAGTCGAAATGGTCATATAGGCCATCCTCGGAACTAACTTTAGCAGGTATTTTTCCATCCTTGAAGTTTTTTCAGACACATGATTTAAAAACTCTGTTAGCCTCAGTTACTAAATCAGTTTTGACTAATAAATTAAAATCTACAATTGTTATGAGATGATACATGATCGAGAAACTTACATGTTCATCAACTAACTGAAAACGCAATATTTCTCCACCACCATCTATCATCTCGGTCCACTTCTTCAAGACCTTCACTCTTATTATCCAATCGTCTCTCTGAGGAGATAGCTCCACAACCCTAGAAATATTTGCCATATCTAATAGATATACGCTGCTTGTGTTGAATAGGTTTCATTGTGTTTCTTGTATTTATAGGCAAATCAATCATCCCGTGTTATATTTATTTTCCTTTTATTACACCTGCAATGAAATGGAAACTATATATTTTTCTAAATAAATTAACATTGATTGATGGTTGTGCAGATTTGTCTTCTCAATGGAAAAAGGAAAAGCTGAACTTCTGATACAGATATCTTCACACGCAAAGGTATGTTTCCTTTCACATTTCTTGAAATTTGAGGCATTTACTGAACACTATCTAATCTCATTAGACAATTGGTTATGATCTGTGCATATCACAACCTTAGGAATCTATCTAACACTTGATGTATAAAATTAGAATAGATGAAACCGGCCCAAAATATAGTTAGCCCACTAAGGGAAGATTTGAAATATTGATTTCATTAATCTCATCGTAATTTTAATTTTACTTAAGGTAAATTTACTTTTCGTGTTTGATCCACATAATTGAGAGTAAGAATCGTATTCATAGGCCCATAATGCAACAATTGTACAATTCATTAACACAACTTATATCTTATTTTGCAATTACCAAATTGTAGGATATCAATTAACTTATAACCAAACTAAAATAATTTTATATCCTAGTAAGATTGAATATGGTCCGTGAATTGCATTATTGTGGAACCAATAGGTTACCATATGACTCAATGTAAATAATGAGTTCAACAATGTATTAGAAATGGAATCTAGAAGATCATATAGAAGTAGAATGATTAGAGGTTCTTGAAAACCTCTTTGAAAACAACATTGGTTGTTCTCCTCTGCGGCTTCCCTTCGCTGTCGACGATCAAGATCTTCAATCCCTTCTTGGAGGTTACCCTGGAAATTAAACTGTCGAGCCTCCCAAGTATTTTTCCAAACCAGCTCTGGAGAAGTTAAACTGTCGGAATTAAGCATGGTGACGAATAACTGCCGAAGTTGAGCTGCAGAAGTCGTGAAGCTTCTCCTGAGAATGTCATCAATGTACTCTTGGTCATCCTCTAACAAACCCCTGGCATAGCACGCATCCTTGTTGCTCGGATATAGCACTCCATTGTATGTCTTGATGTCGTCAAAACATGTGGGACCACGGACAACATTTAGCAACACTCGACAATAATAAGCATCTTCAATCTTCCTTGGGGCATAGTTGATTCTGCCAATTGCAAAACCTGTCTCCCTTTCTTTCCAACGTTTCTGGCTAGCAATATATACAAAGAAATTTGGAATCTGAACATAGGTTAGCGTTCTAGCAAACTCATTTTCCAAATTCAGCTGAAACCAAGCCAACATCATAGTCTTCTCGATCAGTTTTCGTGTAACAACCCTTTCCAGCTTGTCCTTCCCTTTGAAGATAACCAACTGTTTCCCTTCTAAATGAAAAGTGAGTTTAACCACAGACACAGATCTATGATGTATTTTAAACCCCAGTGTTCTCCATACAGCTTCTGTAGCACCTACAAACCTTCACAAAACGTTTCAAAACTTGATTTCAGAAAACGGTGTCTAACCTCAAAATTCATTCATAAATGTTCAAAGGAAACAGAATATATTAAGATTTTGATGGAACATCTTACCGGCAATCAAAATAGTCTTTAATCTCGTTAACCTGCTCAACCTTCTCAGTGGACTCAGAACTATCTTCAGTCTGCTTAGCTCCATTAGTAGGTCTCCCATTTTTCTTTTTCTGCCGTGCTTCTTCACCAAGTGTGGCCTGCTCAGCTGACTCAACAACGACAGCAACACGATCTGATCCTTTGTTGATATACTTAAATAAGTACTTAATAGCAGCTGACTGGTTCACCATTCTACATTGATGTGAGCTTTGTAACGGATGGACAGAGCTCTGTTATATGGAATCACGTATCGGTTGTCACACTTGAAACCATTCTTCTCGATAAACACACCTGGCTGGTCCCGTCTCCTGTATATTGGGAAGCCATCTTTGCTTATCTTGGTTCTCTCTGCATGAGCTTTCGGGAATAGCTTTGAACATTTTCCATTTTCCATACATGGTGAGTTTATGTTCACATTACCGCAAGGACCGTGAATCATCATATCCTTCACAACTTCATATAGTTCTGGCTCCTCCACCTTATCTGGTATCTCTGCTGATATAATCTTATCGATATCATCCGTAGTTGGAAACTTGCACTTCTGATGCATAAACAGAAGAATGTGAGCATGTGGCAGTCCTCGTTTTTGAAATTCTATTGTATACATTGCTGCATTGTTAAAAGAAGTGATCGTGAATCATAGGAATAATAATTGTGCAGAAATCAAATGAAAACATACTTGTTAGTTTACTACTTATAATATGATGGATTGGTACAAAACTTACACGCAACTGTTTGGCCTAGGAGTCCATTATCCGTCAAGTCTTCCATGAGTGACGCTAGTTTTATATGATACAGCCTGCAGATGAGTTCAGCTCTATCCGTAGGTTTCAGATTTGTACCATCAAGCTCTCGGGTTAGTTCTGGCCATTTAGGATTGCATGTAAATGTGATGAACAAATCCGGGAAACCATAATGTCTGCATATCGCCATCGCATCGAAATATAACTCCCTCATATACCTTGGTCCTTGATGATAGGATTTGTGTGTGGATGTGAAAAGATATGAAATGAGATGTATGGAATGCAATCAGTGGTATATGATGAGGTGGTAAGATGCAAACACAAACACAGTCAACAATTCCCTTTAACCATGATAGTTGATGTAGTACAAAGGGTTATCAATCCAAAATGGGAAACTTGTCACTCTATGAGAATATGAAACAACCAAAGTCAAGCAAGCAGTAAGAGATTTGAAGTAACACTAACAACCTAAATAAAATGAAAAGCAGTGCAATAAAAGTAAACAAAGCAGTGAAGTATCAGCTCGACCAAGAGCTCGAGTCGAGTCAGAACAAAGTACCAGCTCGATCGAGTTTAGGGACGAGTTGAGACAAACAAAGCTAAAGGTGACGACTTTAACAAGATAAAGAGAGAATTAGGGTTCAAGACAGGGTTTTGCAATCAAAGGAATCTACACTTAATCAATCTAGCTCTTAAAACTCCTTGTATCAAGGCTTCTCTTGATATTGGGCTTCTCAATGCCTACCAACCCTTTCCCAAGGTGAAGGCTATCAACCAAGGAATGATCTCAGAAACAGGGGGTTAGCCAGTGAGAATCAAACCTTGGAGGCTATAGGATCATTGCCCAAACTAATCCATCCAACCCCTTAGACCTCTATTGTCTAGAGCAAGAGATATTGGAGCTCTTAGTGGATCTTTTCCAGCGAATGCCATCACTTTCGTGTGGGGAGTCGCCTAAGGACTTACAAGCCAGGGGTAGTGGTCATGTAGCCTTAAGATCTATCCAAAAGAGAGAGAATCTAGATTAAGACCATAAGCTAGAAGGATTAAGCATATGAAACCTCTAATCTATCCCATCTCAAACCCCAATGGGTAACTACTCACTACACATGAATGTAAACACAAGCAAATGCAATAAAAGAGACATCATAAGAAAGAGGAGATGAAATTAAACAACTTTTATTGAAATAAGCAAGTGCAAATACAAGAGAGATTAATCCAGGATCTAGGATTCAAGAAGCAAGAGCTTCAAGAACACAAAGATGGATTAGATCTCTAAAAAGTAAAAGTACAATAAATTAAAAGAAACTAAAACAAAATAATCTAAAGCTTGGTGGTTTTTTCGTGGCTTTTAGCCTTAAATACAAAGAGGATTAGGTTTAGGGTCAAAGGAAAGTCAAGGGGGAAGCAACATTTTTCGGGTTTGACTGTTGACTTCTCAGCTCGATCGAGTTGAAGCTTGGCCGGTCGAGTTGAGGAACTCGACCGGTTGGTCGAGTAGACGGTCGAGCTGGTCTTCAAGATGGCTTCTCCCTTCTTCCTTTGCGTGTCCAGTTGAGCTGCTTCCATGTGCCAAGTCCCTCCATGCTCCTCATGTCCCATATGCTCCAGAATGCTCCAAAAGACCTATTTCAAAGGACCAAACATGCATATGTATGCAAATGCAACCTAAAACTAACATGAATGCATAAGAAGAGAAAAGGGGGTTTAAACACAACACCTTATGCTAAGAAAAGCCAAGAAAGGTTCTCACAATCGCACAAGAGATAAAATGGGGTTTGAAATGAAAAGGCTTAGGTTTAAGGTGTGGTAACTGTCTCAAGGATAGAGATCAGCTATCTGGACAAGCAAAAGGGATATGAAAATAGGTAAAAAATGTCCAGATATGTATGTGGTATCCATTAGTTGAAATCAAATGCAAGTATTGGTAATTAAAGATCAAGCTATGGTTCATATAAATAGGGAAATGCATCAAATCACAGCAATGGTTGAATGAGATGTGCATGCAACGATATGATCAAGATAAACATGGTTCTTGCTGCTCTAGGATTAGACGGTCGAGCTGGTCTTCAAGATGGCTTCTCCCTTCTTCCTTTGCGTATCCAGTTGAGCTGCGTCCATGTGCCAAGTCCCTCCATGCTCCTCATGTCCCATATGCTCCAGAATGCTCCAAAAGACCTATTTCAAAGGACCAAACATGCATATGTATGCAAATGCAACCTAAAACTAACATGAATGCATAAGAAGAGAAAAGGAACAAGATATGATGCAAATGGAAGCTAAAACTATGCAAAAGATGCATAAAAGATGTGCTAAAACTATGTAAAATGCAAGTACATCAACACCCCCAAACTTGAACTTTGCTTGCCCTCAAGCAAACAAATAGAACAAGAAAGAGATGAGGTTTGAAAATAGCTGATTCAACACTTAAAAACATGTCCTCAAAAGCGATTTGCTAAATGTCCAACTTAGAGATTCTAGAATGCAACAAGGTGAGAGATATTCATTAAGATTTAACCATGCTTATCAACATCAATCCCACTTCACAGTCACTCAAACAATGCATTCAAATCAGCAAATCCCTTTAACATTCATTAAGCAAAAACAGTGAACCAAAAACATGCAAGATCAATCAACTCATTTGGTTTCAAGGGTTTATGGGTTAAGAGACAAAGAGGGTCTCTTTTGTATGGTGGTTTAGTAACAGGGATCTCTCAAGAAAGTGGCTTTGCTTTGGCAGAAGGCTAAGTGTTAGAACCAAAGATGATGCAAGAACAGCAGCTCGAGCCGTCTAATCCTAACTCGATCGAGTTCAACACTTAGAGCTTTTTAGAACAAAATCCTAACTACCCTTTTTGGCATTTCGCCTTTGAAACTGAGGAGCTTTGCTCACTTTTCTTTTAAGAACTTCCTAGGGAGAGGCTTCTTGAGGTAACATCTAGCGGTTTGGGATTTTCTAAACACTTAGGGAACTTTTCTTTCCTTTTTGACACTTGAGGCTTTGCCTTCTTTTCATTCTACTTAGAACCCTTTTTACTTCCTTTTTTAACTTCCCAAACCTTTACTAGACCCTTTTTAACACTGCCAACTCCCTGGACTTAACTAAACTCTTTTTCCTTTGGGTTTTTCCCAACTTTTACCACTTTTCTGGTTTTTACACCCAACTCGATCGAGCTCGAGTTGGCACCCCCAAACTTAGCCTGAAAACAATCCCAAGAGAACTAGACAACTAGAACTACTGCCCCTGCCGGTTTAAACACAACACCTTATGCTAAGCAAAGCCAAGAAAGGTTCTCACATTCGCACAAGAGATAATATGGGGTTTGAAATGAAAAGGCTTAGGTTTAAGGTGTGGTAACTGTCTCAAAGATAGAGATCAGCTATCTGGACAAGCAAAAGGGATATGAAAATAGGTAAAGAATGTCCAGATATGTATGTGGTAGCCATGAGTTGAAATCAAATGCAAGCATTGGTAATTAAAGATCAAGTTATGGTTCAAATAGATAGGGAAATGCATCAAATCACAGCAATGGTTGAATGAGATGTGCATGCAGTGATATGATCAAGATAAACATGGTTCTTGCTGCTCAATCAATCTCACCCTAATGCACAAAAGAATCTAAAAACAGGGCACTCAAGAAATCGCAAAAGATGGACAAGTTTTCAAAGTCAAATCAACAATGCAAGTGAAAAATGCAATCCTAAACAAGTCTAACAAATATGAATGCAAAAAGATGAAAATATTTTTGGATTTTTTGAAAATTTTATGATTTTTTTGGTTTTTCTATGCAAAAGATAAATGAAAAACTAAGAACAAAGAAAACAAGGTTAAATCATCTCTTGAACCCTCCCCCAAACTTAAATCACACAGTCCCTTGTGTGAGAAAAATTTAGTGAAAGATTCAAGAGGGCAAAACCAAGAAAAAACAAGAACAAATGCAAGAAAATATGAAATGGTATATACAAGGGTTGGTGTTTGGATACCTCAGTGCCCCCAAAGAACTGGGAGACTAGGTCGTGGTCTGGAGATGGGAGACGGCCATCAGGAGCACTCCATGCAACTGGGTTGCCTCTTGTGGCTCACTCGATCGAGCTTGCGGCTCCTCTTCCTCCTCTTCTTCATCTCAAAGTGTGTGGCTCCTTGGCCTTGGTGGAGCTGTGCTTGCTCGAAGCTGTTGTAGGGGTCCATCTGGTCTGGGAGAAGTCCTGGTACTGCGTTGATCGTACTCGAATCCAGGATCCTCAAACAGGGGCTCCTCCAGGTCAACTCGACCCTCAGCTCGATCGAGTTGAGTTTCCTCTGTTTGGACTCGATCGAGTCCGGTGGTCGAGCTGGAGCGTCTGGCCTTGGACTCTTCCTCCTTCTCTGCGTGTTGTCTTCTCCTTCCCTTGGCTCGAAAGAAGAGGCTCTGTGAGGCTCTTGGGCAGGGAGCCTCCTTGGGTGGTGAGGAGTGACTACTCCTAGGGAATGTGGGGGCCTTGGACTTCTTCTTCTTGCTTGAAGAACCAGAAACCTTCTTCTCCAAACTTTTGATCTTGCTCACCATCTTGTCCATGGACTTTTGCATCTTCTCAATGGCTTTCCCTTGCCATTTGTTGAACTTTTGGAGAAGTCCAATCCTCTTGTGGGCAGCCACAACAGAGGGGTTCATCCTTGGAGCCTCATACTCCTCAAAGTAATAGCACTCAGGCTCACCCAAATCCGCACTCTCCTGGCCTGATCTTCAGCTCGACCTCAGCTCGATCCTCAGCTCGATCGAGCTCAGGCTCCTCTTCTCGCAAATCTCTTCATGCCCAACTAATGTGTACACAGGGGGTCTGAAGTCAATGTTCTCACCCCTAGACCGTGGTGAGCTCAGGGTTGGGCAGGAGAAGCTTGGAGGTCCAGCCAATGGGTGTGAACTTGAATTGGAATCTCCCATCCAACTCCTTGTGCTCAATGAGGAGGTTGGTCTTGCAAAACTTGATGTCCATCCAACCTGGTGGAGTAGACCTTCTCTTGTCCAGTTGACTCCAGCTGCACAAAGATAGGTGTGATGACCCCTCCAACACTTAAGCTTTCTTCCTCTTTGGTGCCTAGTGTTGTAAGCTGTGACTTGTAGGCTTGGAGCTGCTCAAGGAGAGGCATGAGTTCCCTGCGTGTGCCCTATCTCCTCTGATCTTCTTCCATCCTTGTGCGTGAGATGATGGGCTTGATTCCCATGTCAAGGAGCTTCACTTCTCCTCATTGATTGTCCAGTGGCTTTCCTTGCAAAGAAGGTGTTGGCAAGAGCCTTGTGCACATATCTAAGCACTGGGCTCCTGATCTGAGCAGCCTTGGACCTTGAGGAAGAGTACCCCTCTTCAGCGATTGTAGCCCAACTCTTTGGAGTTCTTCTTCCTTGATGTTCCATTGGTTACCTTCTCCATAGTGAACCCAAACAGTATCTCAAGCTGCCTAAAGGTCACCATCTTCTTCTCTCCCTTTGCCAAGAACGTTATCCCCCAGCCTTGGTCCAACTCAGCTCGATCGAGCTCATCAAACTCGTGACCTCATTGAAGCCAAAAACTCACAAGTGAGCTCCTTGTAAGACTCCATGCGGTGAGAGAAGAACTTCCAATGCATGTTCTTGAGCACCAACTCCACATCCTCAAAGATTCCAAGCCTCATGTGTCATCATGTGGGTACTTGGTCTCCACAAAGTCCATGGAGAAGAGAGCATTGTAGTGCTCTTGGTACATGGGGAGCTCATCCTCCTCTTGCTCTGCCTCAGCCTCTTCCATTGGCTCATCTTGGTTCCCTCTTGCTCATCTTCATCAACCAATTGGTTCACCTCTTCTCCTTCCTCTTCACTCTCAGTCTCATCACTTCCTTCTTCATTTGGAGAACCATTTCCCTCCTCTTGAACAAGGTTCACTCCAATCTCAAACTCCCCTTGCTCACTCTCACTACTAATGGGTCATTCCTCTTCTTGGTTCTCCTTTCTTCCCTCAATCTCTCACTCTCAGACTGTTCCTCAGAGTAGACATATCCCTCTGCATCAGACTCTTCCATCCTCTGATCCATCCTCTCCAAATCGGCTTGCATCTTAAGCCTTCTTTCCCTTGCATTGCTTGATTCACCCTCAACCATTCTCCTCTGTGAAGCGCGGCTTCCCTCACTGTTTGTCATCCTTGTTACTCTGTTTCTTCACTAAAGTACCTGAAATGCATCAAAGATTACAAAGAATTAGAGTTGTAATGATCGGTTTGGTCAACTCGACACTCAGCTCGATCGAGTCAAAAAACTCGAGTGACAAACTCGATCGAGTTGGGTGAAAACAGAGTATAACCAACCTAATTCAAGTATTAAGAGCTGGAAAGGATGCTAATCAATCAAATTGAACCAAGAACAACTAGTAAATGGAACAATGAGCAATTCTAGTGAAAACTAAGCATCTTAACCAATACCAAACTCAAATTCAATTTTCAAGCACATGCAACAAGTTTAAAGGCAAAACAGAGGTGAGGTGAAACAAACTAACAAGATTATACAGCAGAGGCGAAATATGAGCAATTACTCAAGAACAAGTCCACAAGGGACACATGCAATCAAAAATCAAAGGAAACAAGCAATAGTGAAATCGAGATGGATGAATCAAGGGTTTTAGGGTTCATACCTTGTTGAATGATGGAATTGAAGAGCAGTAAACTAAAACCCAAGCAAAACAATGAAGAACAAGAGAAATCGCAAAAACTTAAGAGAGAAAGATTGAAATTCGATTTCTTGTGGTGAAGAGAGAGAGGATGAGTTTCAGAAATTTTAAGTGTGGGAGAGAGAGAAGTGGATTCGATCGAGTTATGGGGAAGAGGGGTGTTTGAGATGTGTGGTTGAGATTAAAAGATGAAATAAAGAGGGAACAAGAAGCTAGGGATTCTCTGATCAATTAGGGTAGTGGGGGACCAAAATCAGCTTGTGGGACCCACTCCCTTGACCAAGAAAACGGTTATGAATTTGAAATTCAAAAACTTACCTCGGTCGAGTTGTGGAACTCGATCGAGTTGCCCTGGTTTCTAGCTCGATCGAGCTGTCGGTCGAGCTGGCTCCTTTGACACCTAAACTTAACTTATTCAAAGGTTAAAAACATAAAGATAGATAGAAATTGCATAAATAGAGTATGTACAAGGATAAACATGGGACTTCCTCCCAAGTGAGCTTGTTTAAGGTCCCATAGCTTGACCTTTACCTTCTTAGGCATTGGTTGAGCTAGTCCCACCATCAAGGGTGATAGTGAGGACTTGAGACAGAAGCTCCTTTAGCTTGGTTGGGTCCCTGGACTGTTCTGAAGTCACCAAGGCCTTGGCTCTAGAGAATGGCCTTGATCTCCCCTTGTACCTTATCTTGTACTCAATCTTCCCATTTTCAAACTTGGTGGGGAACAAAGTCATTGTGAGCTGAGATGGCTTGACTGAAGGGGCCTGAGCTGGTGGATCCTTTCTTTTATCCCTGGTCTTGCCTTAGAGGCTACATCCTCCCCTTCTTTTAGAGCCCTTCCTAGTGGCTCATCAAACAAAGCTTGAAGGCTCTCTTCATCAAGCACACAAGGGGCTTGAACAAGTCTCTCAGCTCTTGGCCTATCAGATCGTGGTTTCTCAACTCTAGCCCTCTCAAGACGTGGCTTCTCAATCCTTGGTCCTCTCTCATCCTTATCCTTCCCAACTCTTGGTTCCTTGTCAACCCTTTCCTTCACAACCTTTGTAGCTCCATGACTCTTAGAACTGAGAGTGGTACTGTCAATTGTGGCACAAAAGTCTGAACCTCTAGGCTGCAAGCGATATGACACCAAACTATTCACCTTGTGAAGGATCACTTCTTGCTTGTGAAAGTCTATTGAAGCGCCAACTGTACTAAGGAAAGGGGTTCCCAATAACAAGGCAAATCCTTCTCTTCTTCCATTTCCATCACAGTGAGATCAGTTTGGATGATGCATTCTCCAATTTTCAAGTGATAGTTCTTGAACACTCCAAGAGGAGACTTAGAAGTTGCATCTCCAAACATGATTGAAGTAGTAGGGCGCTGCAAGGCTCCAGCAATGCCTAGCTTCTCTGCCATGGAGAGAGAGATCAGATTGATGCTTGCTCCAGAATCCACTAAGGCATTGTCAATCTCAAGATGCCCAAGTGTGCAAGGGAGAGTGAATTTCCCTTGATCCTTGACCTTTGGTAGGAAGGTGGGTGAAGTAAGCAGGTTGAACTGATGAGTAGACTCTTGTAGGACCTCTGAAACTTTATCACTGTTGGCTAGAACATCCTTGACCATTTGCATTTGATCAAATGCCTCACTCATGCTATCCATAGGAGGCAACTCAATTCCAATCCCACTGAGATCTCTTCTGAACTTGTGAATCACTTCCTTGTGACCTTGACTAAGTAGGCGAGACGAGGAAGCGGCAACCGGTTGGTAAGGATCAAGCAAAACAGGTTTGGACTGAAGAGGTCGGACAGAGAGAGTCGGACTCGATCGAGCTAGAGTTGGACTCGATCGAGCTGCCGATCGAGCTTGTCGTGCGAGCTCAACTGGTGAAGTGTGAATGGCCACAGTAGGTGCCTGCACTTCTGGTTGATCAATCTGGACTCCAGGAGCCTCAGCAGCAACAATCTCTTCATCATTCAGCAGTAAACAAAAATCTTCAATGACCCTTTCTTGATCCTCTTCTTCAACAAGTCCTTCTTGAGTGAAGATGACCTTGCACTGTTCCTTGGGGTTCTGAATAGCTTTACCAGGTAGTTGTCCTTGCTTTGTAGCAGCAGCAACAGAAGAAGCATGATTCTCCAGAGAGTAAACCCTTGTGTTGAGGTTCTCGATCTTAGAGTTTATTTCAGCTAGCTTCTTGCTTGTGTCCACTACCCCATCAGCTTGCCCTTGAAGTAGTTGCTTTAGCATTGCCTTGAGCTCATTCTCTTGTGAAGGTGCAGGCTGGGGCGGTTGGTGGGGGAAGCCTGGTGGGATATTCATTTGTTGTCCAGGGAAAGTGCCTTGTGGTCCTTGGTAATTGTTCTTTTGACCATACCCATGTTGTGGCACCTTGACTCGATCGAGCTGCTTGTTGTTGAGGATATACTTGGTCCTGAGGGTTAGCAACATCAGTGTTGCGGTATGACATGGCAGGGTTGGACTTGTAGTTATAGTATCCTTTGTTGTAACCTCCTTGCCCATTGCTCATGTAGCACACCTCAGCAAATTGTGTATCCTCCCCTTCTTGGACTGGTTCCATCTCCTCAGCAGACACAAAGTTGACTTTCTTCATTGTGGACTGAGCTAGGATCAGCTTATCCAACTTCTCATTCAATGCCTTAACATCTTTTCTCAACTTTTCGTCTGACTCGATCGAGTGGTGGGTCGAGCTCCGGTTGGTGCGATCATACTCTTCTCCATAGCTTCCATTTGAGTTAGCTATGTTCTCCACAAGTTGCCAGCCATCATCTACATCCTGGTTGAGGAAGTTCCCATTGCTAGCTGTGTCTAGCATCTCCCTATACCTAGGCAAGCATCCTCTATAAAGAGTGGAGAGTAGTGATTCATTGTTGAATCCATGGTGTGGGCACTGACTTGTGTAGCCTTTGAACCTCTCCCAAGCCTCTGCGAATGTCTCATTGTTTCGCTGGATGAAGCTGGATATCTCTCCTCTAAGCTTGGCTGTGCGACCGGTGGAGAAAAACTTAGCAAGAAAGGCCTTCTTGCATTCATCCCAAGTGGTGATTGTGCCATGGGGCAAGCTCTTCTCCCATTGGTGAGCTTTGTCAGCTAGAGACATAGGAAAGAGTCTCAGCTTGATGGCATCTTCAGAGACACCATTGATCTTTGTCAAATCACAAAGCCTATCAAACTCATCAAGGTGGTCAATGGGGTCTTCACTTGGCAATCCATGGAACATCTTGTTCTGGACAAGGTTGATCATTCCCAGCTTGATCTCAAAGTTGTGGTTCTGCACTGGTGGTGGAACAATCCCTTGTCTCTGTTGGTGGCGGTTTGGAGCATCTCCTTGACCAATCGGTCGAGTTTGCCTAGCTCGACCGAGTCCATTCCCAAAGGGTTTCCATTCCCCTCTGGTACATCCATTGTATCAGCAACAAGCACCTCAGGTTCCTCTTGTACCCTCTGTGACCTCTGAACCCTCTTTCTACCCGTTGTAAGTCTAGCTCGACCAAGTCTTCTGTAGACCGACTCGATCGAGTTCGCATACACCTGCAAAAAGAGACAAAAACCCAGCAGTACAATAGAACAGGGGTGGTATAGCTTGATCGTCCAAGTGTGTTTGAAACTCAAATGCAACAAAAATATTCCCAAATCGGCAACGGCGCCAAATTGATGATAGGATTTGTGTGTGGATGTGAAAAGATATGAAATGAGATGAGTGGAATGCAATCAGTGGTATATGATGAGGTGGTAAGATGCAAACACAAACACAGTCAACAATTCCCTTTAACCATCATAGTTGATGTAGTACAAAGGGTTATCAATCCAAAATGGGAAACTTGTCACTCTATGAGAATATGAAACAACCAGAAGTCAAGCAAGCAGTAAAGATTTGAAGTAACACTAACAACCTAAAAAAATGAAAAGCAGTGCAATAAAAGTAAACAAAGCAGTGAAGTACAGCTCGACCAAGACTCGAGTCGAGTCAGAACAAAGTACCAGCTCGATCGAGTTTAGGGACGAGTTGAGACAAACAAAGCTAAAGGTGACGACTTTAACAAGATAAAGAGAGAATTAGGGTTCAAGACAGGGTTTTGCAATCAAAGGAATCTACACTTAATCAATCTAGCTCTTAAAACTCCTTGTATCAAGGCTTCTCTTGATATTGGGCTTCTCAATGCCTAGCCAACCCTTTCCCAAGGTGGAGGCTATCAACCAAGGAATGATCTCAGAAACAGGGGGTTAGCCAGTGAGAATCAAACCTTGGAGGCTATAGGATCATTGCCCAAACTAATCCATCCAACCCCTTAGACCTCTATTGTCTAGAGCAAGAGATATTGGAGCTCTTAGTGGATCTTTTCCAGCGAATGCCATCACTTTCGTGTGGGGAGTCGCCTAAGGACTTACAAGCCAGGGGTAGTGGTCATGTAGCCTTAAGATCTATCCAAAAGAGAGAGAATCTAGATTAAGACCATAAGCTAGAAGGATTAAGCATATGAAACCTCTAATCTATCCCATCTCAAACCCTAATGGGTAACTACTCACTACACATGAATGTAAACACAAGCAAATGCAATAAAAGAGACATCATAAGAAAGAGGAGATGAAATAAACAACTTTTATTGAAATAAGCAAGTGCAAATACAAAGAGATTATCCAGGATCTAGGATTCAAGAAGCAAGAGCTTCAAGAACACAAAGATGGGATTAGATCTCTAAAAAGTAAAAGACAATAAATTAAAAGAAACTAAAACAAAATAATCTAAAGCTTGGTGGTTTTTTCGTGGCTTAGAGCCTTTAAATACAAGAGGATTAGGTTTAGGGTCAAAGGAAAGTCAAGGGGGAAGCAACATTTTTCGGGTTTGACTTTGACTTCTCAGCTCGATCGAGTTGAAGCTTGGCCGGTCGAGTTGAGGAACTCGACCGGTTGGTCGAGTAGACGGTCGAGCTGGTCTTCAAGATGGCTTCTCCCTTCTTCCTTTGCGTATCCAGTTGAGCTGCTTCCATGTGCCAAGTCCCTCCATGCTCCTCATGTCCCATATGCTCCAGAATGCTCCAAAAGACCTATTTCAAAGGACCAAACATGCATATGTATGCAAATGCAACCTAAAACTAACATGAATGCATAAGAAGAGAAAAGGAAAAGCAAGTACATCAGTCCTCCAGTGAAAGACGCAGGCAAGTAAAACTTATTACCTTGTTCCTCCATTTCAATGACACCTGCGTCTTCAGCTTGTTTGATTGAGTCATAACTGTCTGATCTCAAGCTTGTCTGGTTCATCCGCAGATAGGTAAGCCTGTTAGTCTCAATCATGGTGTAGGTATCGACCAAGTACTGCTGAAACAGCCTCCTCGAGTGTAAGAGATGGTTAGACTCTTTTGTTCTTTCAAATAGACGGAAAGCAAAAAACTGTCTAACAGAGATGTTTTCCTTCTTATTTTTTTTCCCGTAAACTGAATCTGCTTTCTTAATTCCAAGCCTGAAACCATCTTCTCCATAAACAAAACACGTAGGATATTGTAGTGGGATATACGACGGATGAATCTCGCTAATACGCCTCAGCTTTCCGGATTGTTTTTGTAGGATTATATCACGGTTCTTCCCCATGTCAAAATTGAAATCTCCGGGAATGATTGCAGCAACCTCAGAAGCCGTAGGAGTGTTGTAAGTTCTTCCATCAGTAACACGATCACTTATAATCCTCATGTGAAAACTGTGCTCAGGGTCAGTGTTGAATCTCTCTCTTGCAGACCGAAAAGTCTTCACGTACGGGTTGTGCTCATCTAAGACCTTGACGAACAATTCAATGATTTCCTTCCGTAGTCGGTTCTTCTTAGTTGATTCTTTAGCATTTTTAGCCTTGCTGGATAAGTAGAGGATACATAGGTTAGTACTAATGATAACATAAACTGTTTGTGATTCAAGAATCTATACTATTAAATTATAGACTATGTAATATAAATTACCTGAGGAAAGTGAGTCTATTTTCGATCTCATTCTCCATGTCAACAATATACATCTGATAGAATTTTGCATAATCTCCAGGTTGTGGAATCATGCTGCCCATTAAATGGTAATTCTCTCCGTGCAACTGAAACATTTGTGGACCCCTCCCTTTTTTTACAGAACGATCAACTCTTCCACCCATTGAAGTGAAGGAAAAAAGCATGCTGTAAGGCCTGATGTGCTTCTGATAATGTCGGCTTAATTCATCATCTCCATAAATCAAATTTTTAATTTCAGGAGGAGGATCCTTTAGCAACGGCAACGTTACTTGTCCCTGCATACAGCAAAGCGTGAAGACTGGATTGCGTGACCTCTTCTTCTTGTTGATACGTTCACCATACCAAAACTTAGCATCACAGTGAGTGCAACGATATGTCATATCACCCTCATCATTATATTCTGTACGGGACAATCCAAAATCACCAGAAACTTAGTGTAACATCAAAATTAGAAACTACCAATACAAAGATAGACTATTAATTACCAAGTTTTAATGGTTCCTTTGTTTTCACTTTCCTCCCTCTGGTTCCTTTTGTCGATTTTGGTTGTTTCTTAGTTTCAGCTTGGACACACGGCTTTCGTGGATTCTTGGATCTAACCTCTGCGAATTCCGGTTGAGGCTGAACACATCCTGAAGGTTTGTCTCTAGAACAACTTGATTCATCATTTGATAACTCATCTTCCGTGGTTTCTGGGCTACTACACTGAAAATATGGTCATAATCTCCATCATCATCTACAAAATAACAAAATGTCATAGTTTAGATAATTTTTGAATTCACCACCAAACTATTGGAAAACAATACTCAAACCAGAAATAAACTTGCCTTCCGAAGATACCAACAAATCTGGGAAATTATGTGGTCTATCTTCAATAGTAGTCTCATCAGTATGTTTTATTTTTCCTCTAGGTTTGCGTTTAGAAGATGGTACTTTTGTTTCCGTCTCAATTGTTTGCAGGCTGGAAAGATCTCGCATCAACTTCCGACCACGTGTGGTTCGCTTTTGACTGTTCAGTGTGACAGCACTTACTGGAGTTCTATCAGGCACTGTTTCAGACGAAATGAATCAATCAGTATTACTATACAGTGAAACTACGTAAGTTATAAACGGTAAAGCCAATGAGTTAAATTATAAGCCATGAGAGAAATACTTAGTACCTTGGAAAGTCGGTTTTGTAAACAATGGGGAACCATTAATATCGACGCGTTTCAAACTCGTAGCCCTTCCACAGCTTGTATTTATGTTGTTAACACCATCAAAGATTCTGCTAAAAATTGTTCTTACTGGTACACATGCTTCAGTTTTCGTGTTGGAAGGCTTTTTGATGTTTGAGTTGATGATCTTAGTTTTCTCGTTTTTCTGGTTTTGGTTGTTTTAGGATCCTCTGCACCATCTACTATGTGATTATCAACGCTCATCCCCTGATAATGACATCACGGGTTAAAAAGTTCATCCATTATGTAACTTGTTATAAATGAGTTTGAATCTAAGTGATTTTTTTTTATTTACCTTTACAGATTTTCCATTGCAGGTGTCGTTATTGTCATATGAGCTTTTCCTCTTTCTGGATCTAGGAGGTTTTCTGGGACATCCATCGATGACAACTTCCTCTGTTTTCTTCTTCATGATGCTCTCCTTTATAGGTATCTATGTTAAATGAAATGTGAAAGCTTAGATCAGAACTAAAAAACAGATTGCTTAAATAGATTAGTACCTATAGTAGGATTATTTACTCGCACGACTCTGATCACAACCTGGCTTCGGTCCGAATAGTAGTGTTCTTAGAGCTATTAAACTCTTAATTCTGTGTAGTACTAAAATCTCTGCAGCTGAGCTTAATTGTATGCCATTTTTCACCATTTTATGACAGGGCGGGAAAGTGAAAAAAATCGATTTCCCTCGTACCAAATTTCAAATTATGAAGCATGAATCTGAGTAAGTATATCAAAAATTTCAAAAAGTAAAGGTAAGTATAAGTTTACCTCCAATTTGTTTATTCGAAATCTACTTAGAGTGAATTAAGGAAATAATATATTTTGTTAAGATATGATGCGTGTTTTAATTTGTAGATCTCTATCTTGCTAAATGATAGAGTAGGTACACAAATATAGCGTTTTTAATAATAGAATCAATGATTGCAGGTTTTCCATTTTATTTAAGAAACACAAACATGTCTCATAAAAAAATGACACAAAATTAGCCAGGTCATTTATTTATGTTTTATGCTAATCAATGGTTGACTACACTAATTCCTCTACTTTTGTGTGTATAGTACTTGTGATTTGGAGAAATGTCAAGTTTAATTATGACGTCGTTCCCATATCAGTTCAGTTCACATCCCGAATCAATTCAGGTAACTATCTCTCACAATGCTATGATTTTTACTTTCAGATTATCGCATGATTTCATATGTTCGACATATCTAACATAATTATAAAACATAAGATTCAAACTTGAAATCATCCATAAATAAGAGAAACAGTGCTGGTCATAGTTGAATTACAAATAGATATAGAGAGAAGTAGGTAATCTTAGAATGGCAAACATCTTCTGGTCACTTCGCGTGATTTCCAAACTTTCAGTACAATCTTCAATCATCCATGAGTTCAACGTCACTATCATCGGATGTGGGATGAAGGCTGTATAATGTACACAATAAATTTGTTAGCTAATATTACTGTAGGTTAGAATTTGGTAAACTTAGAAATAATACATACTACTAAAACTTACAATATATTTTCGAAGTGTTCCACCTCTAAGTGACCGGTTGGATGAAAATCAAATGTAGAGATACCCTGCACACTTTCAACGTTTATACCACCTACATGTATATAAAATAAACATTAGGAAAGTTGTAATTTAAATCTGGAACATCTTAGAAAGACATACTAATAAAAAGTTGCTTAGAAATCTCAAACAGATTACCATCTGATCCAACTACTCGCCAATCAGTTAAGAGGATGATATTTGTTCCAGTGTAACCATAACAAAGCCAGAAACGTTTGAACTTATCTGCCAACTCTCCCTTCGCACGAAAGTTAAGCCCAATGCCACTTAAAACATGAAAAACAGGTATTTCAGTTTCGTATTACTCACTTCCAAACAATCTATACTATCAAAGACAATAGGTTTACAGAAATGATATACTTACTTGTTGTCCAGAAGCATAAAGTCAATCTTGCTAATATATTTGTTATGCATGTTCCACCTATATCCTAGGAAGGAAAGGATCTATCATAGTGTCCAACTCCCTCACAATAGTTATTTGACCTATAAAATCTGTAATCCACATCAGATATCACTACACGAAGTATTGCCTCTAAAAATAAAACATGTATAAACAGAAAAAAAAAAATTCAGCAAATTACCTCTAAGGAAAGATGTCCCGTCTTGAACAGCTGAACGATAAACATCTCCAAATGGAATAAGATCCAGAGGAATGAAACCATTAAAGCACTCAGAGTTAGAAACTTGGGTATCACGCGTGAGAACAATTTCTTTCCTCTGTTTGGTCAATCGAATCTCTGTATTAACTAACTGGACTTTGAAACCAGTTATGCTCCTCCAATCTTCTTCATGAAGTAGTCCCCTGAATCTCCGTTTCTGATCTTCTCTGTCCACGAAAGCATGCATCTTCGTGCCCTGTTAAATTTGTAGGAAAGATTGAGGACAATAATTTAGTTAGTATCATGTATCATAAAACAATCTATACTATTAAAACAAAGTAAGTTCTAATTACCTCATCATCAACAAAGAGGAAACTTAGACCTTCAAAGGTATCAACATCAAGTGTATCCCAGATTTTCAAACTTTCACAGTGATCCGTAAATCATCACGGTCTGGTGTAATATCAGCGAGTTTAGCGTTGTTCATTGTTTCAAATTTTTTTTCAGATCTAACTTTTTACTGGTTTCTGAAGTTTATCTGATAATGGTTCCTATTTATATATTCTTCATAAAGTATATTAATACGCGTTAGCTTGATGGTACACGCAATATATTGAGATCTACTTAATTGATTCGCTATGACTATCTAAACTGACCATTTCGATTGAGTGTCCCGTAAATTGAGGCGGACTTTTGCAGTTAATGGTACTGTAAATATACTGAGGATTCTCTGAATATATTCACTTTTTCAGAAAAATCTTATCTGACAGTTTCAATTTTCTTTGTAGGTGATTATTACTCAAGCATGAAACCTTGACCAATTTCTCAATACAAAAAGATAAGTATAATTCGCTGTCCCACCAATTACTTCTAATCCTTTTTTCCTTGGACTCTAGACTGAATGGGCCACAAATTGTGTAGGCCTTATGAACACTCTATTTTCTACTATAATATTGATGTAAGATAATAATCAAGTAGATAAGTCTCAGGTACTACACTAATATTGATTTGGTAAACGATGTCTCTATCTCTTGGCATATATACTTAGATAAACGGTCTTAGGCTCTTCAGATGATAATACTATATATGTAAGATAGTCGATATAAAGCCAACTGAACTGATAATTGTAACCAACTTATTAAAAAATCCAAATAATATCTCAAATACTGAAAAAATAAAGCTCAAGCTAGAAAGGTCTTTAGAAATTCAAAAAACAAAAGATGACGATGTTGACTCATTATTCCTTGTGACAGTTTGGGATGCACTACTCGGTTAACGTCTTCACATCAACACCATTGCTTTCGTCTTCTAGGTTGATGAGCTTGGTGCACTGTTTCTTTGAAGTGGAAGAGAGCTCACTTCTGATATTGCTGTCTTCAATACTGCGCTTAGGAGATGGTGTCATCCCATTGCTCTTCACAACAGAGGCCTGAAATAAATGAATATGATGAGAGATAAGGTTAGCTCTGGAACTATGAGTATAGTTATATACACAGATCCTAAAATATAAACTTCGCATACCTCATTGTCAGAATGAATCTGAGAGAGATCATCCTCAACAGTAATGATCTCGTTGGCTGAATCAGAATGACCCGTGATATGACCATTTTTCACTTTGTGAGCCTTGTAGGTGTCATTTCCATACATGATGTGCTCCTTCTCTACACCCACCAAGAAATCGAAAGTGTTCCCAACCAAATCTTTTATGGAATCAGGAAGAAGTTCCGGGTCTTGAATCTAAACAGGTAAAGTTTTATGCATTTGTATATTTTGTAATGCTGCTTATATTATAAATTCAATTGGATTCGATAGTACCTCATCAGTAGAACCATTCAGTAGGAATGCGCTGTCTTGTTGACCATCCCGTTAGCAACAGAATCCATGAGCATTATCTTAGCCTCACCAGAATCATCTTCAATGATTAAATGTAGCTTGAATCTATTCCTAAGACAAATTTAAAATTTCCTTGTAAGTAAAAAACTAAGTAGAACAGACATATTCAACATTTCTCTATCAGATGCAGAGTATAGACTTACTTTGGTGAAACCGCTTTGATATTTGTCTTGCAGTTATCACAATACCAAATAGGAACTACTGGTCGTGGTCTGGTGGAAGACTCCTTTTTCAAGTCTTTGAAAACCCGATGTTGACATTTAACGCAACCAAAGTAATACCATCCCCAATCAGTATCAATAGCAGTGACCTTTGCACGGATTCTAAATTTCTCAATCTACAACAATAAACAAAACAGTAAGCTCAAATCATACTCTAGTAGTCAGACTCCAACTTTGTTCTTTGTATCTATACTATTAAATTCCAAAACAGAATCATTACCTCGGTAGAACTCTTCACATCATAAACGGACTTAAGATCAAGAGTCAACCACTCATCCGCCTTTTGCTGTTTCTGAAGCTGCACTAATGCATCGTCCTCTTTCAGGTTCATTGCAATTGCCAATCCATCAGAAGGTAAACTACAACATTCATTTCAAGTTTTGGTAAGTATAATTAGATAAGATTACTGTAATGTAGATTACAATCTACAAAACTCGTTAAAAATAAGACAAAATCTAGATTAACCTTGCTCGAAAGTGGTCAGCCTCGGGACATACTGGATTGACAATGAGCTGAGATGTATCATAAGCATTGGTAACTTGCAAATCTCCTATGCAATGTAATAATGTTGATATTGAAGTTAACTTTAAGCAATACGGAAAAATCAGTTAAGTTCTGTTTAGGTTTTTTTTTGTATGCTTGCCTTGATAGAAGTTTATCTTTGCAAATCTGATCATGCATATCACCGGTTCGCCATTTGCTTCCTTGCATGCATCATATAACTGCTCAGCATAAGACTCCCAAAGGCATCCGCTAACACGTTCATCACTGCAATTATCCAATACTTCGTGATTAGTCTATTTGTTCATTCAAACAAACACAAAATATAGATCAATAAAATAACATTAGAAATTAATCTTACTCAGTGTCTCTCAGAACAAACTCGAGCTTACGTTTCTTCCTTCCCTTGGACAGGTACAGTTTGGATCTCCTGGACGTTGAGTACTTGACCAATGAAATCTGGTGGAGAATGAAGCCAAAACCAGTTCATACATTACAGAAGAAGAGGAACCAGCTCAACTAAAGGTTAATAAACTAAACTTTATATTAAACAATGAGACTATTACCGATGAGTATGCAGTGGTTCAGACCACCATCGACAATAATCCGAATAGGAATCAGTTCAAGAAACTGGCTGTCGTTTTTAACCGAGCAGGTGCTTACTTTCGTGTTCAATGTCATCGTCATCTTCCATTTGCTGTTTGTAGGACGGAACTGACCCGTTGCATGAGCAACCTGGAAATTGTCAAGGACTCTCCATTCGCCAACTTTCAAATCCTTGGAGATCCTGCCTATGTCCTTCTTCTTCGCTGCAGCATGTATTTTTCCACCCTGCAAACGATAGTCCAAATATTGTCAAGTGTGCCTAACGATATTAAAACATTATCAATATTTTACAGAATCTTAACTTACATGTTCATCAGCCAAGACAAACTCCATCGTCTCACCGGTCTGGCCAACGTATTGTCTCCAGCTCAACGAAATTTCTAAGGTAACCAAGCAATCTAGAGTTAACCTCACCCTTAATCAATCTTAATAACTCTTGTCAAGGGGATTGGCATACATGTCGACAGTTCCTTGCTTGATTTTCAATAAGATTTGCTAACTTTAAAGAGTTCTCCTCTCTCTCCCATCCCAAATGGTAAGTAATTTATGAGAAAAGCTCAAAGAGCACAAGGAAAACAAGTAAGCATGAGGAATGCATATGTCTGTACCTTCATGTCTTATGGAATACCTTATTCAAACAAGGAACAAGCTAAAGACTTATCCTGTGGTTGAAAAGGGTCAATAGAAAAAATAAAATGATACCCTAGAAAAGTAGGGAGAAATTGACCTTTCAAAGTTCTGATGTGAGAAAGAGAGAGGAAAAGAACTCATTGCACTTCAAAGACAATCTTGGAGAAGGATCAAGTGGGTAAGAACAAGTCAATTGATCGATATTCCCTTGATAAAGAACTCACGCTTTAAATTTATGCAAGAGGTTAGCAATAGAGAGTTTGGATTGCTGGATGAGACTAGTTGGGTTGGTATTGTTCGCTAAACTTGCAGGGTGTATGTGAAGCTAACCTTATGTTGCCTATGTTCTTAGTGGAATACAGGAAAGGAACCTTTCACAGGATTTTCAAAGAAGCAAGGGAGTTCCACGTTTTCAAAACCTCTTCACTAGTTTAGATTCTGTTTGCTTGGGGACAAGCAAAGATCTAAGTCTGGGGGAGTTGATATACCTCTATTTTACATGCTTTTTATGCTATTTTACTATGGTTTTCTAATGGTTTTCTAGTGGATTCTTGTCTTAAAAGGTAGTTTTTATGGATTTATAGTGCAAAGAGTCATTTTAGGTCAAAAGGTGCATTATGGAGCAAAACAGAGGATTTGGACTTCAAACCATCCTGCACAACTTCTACTTTGGAGGAGCTAGAAAAAGATCTACTCAATGGATTTCATCAAGACCAGTTCCCTGCGTGCTCTGATTGAGTTAACTTTCCAACGCAATTGGAATTGGCTCATTTGGATGAGTAGAAAAGTTATGACCAAAGAGTGAAGACTGGTCCAGACGGCCTTATCGAGAATTCGCATCCTGAGCCGCTCACACCGGCCGATCGAGGAACGAACCTACCGCGATCGTGCCACGCATATCATCCGCGTCCAGCCAAGTCCACGGCCGATCCCACGTACCGACCCGGGAGGCATCGTCCCGCGGTCGGCCAAATCAATTTCACACGGCCAAAGCTGCGCGCGACCGTACCGCGCGAACAGGAAGGCAACATCTCGCGGCCGCGTAGCACAACTCACGTAGTTTAGATTCTATTTGCTTGGGCACAAGCAAAGATCTAAGTCTGGGGGAGTTGATATACCTTTATTTTACATGCTTTTTATGCTATTTTACTATGGTTTTCTAATGTTTTTCTAGTGGATTCTTGTCTTAAAAGGTATTTTTTATGGATTTATACTGCAAAGAGTCATTTTAGGTCAAAAGGTGCAGTATGCAGCAAAACAGAGGATTTGGACTCCAAACCAATCCGTTGTCACAGCTTCTACTTTGGGAGGAGCTAAAAAACGATCTACTCAATGGATTTCATCAAGACCAGTTCCCTGCGTGCTCTGAGTGAGTTAACCCTCTAACGCAATTGGATTGGCATCATTTGGATGAGTAGAACTCAAGTTATGATCAAATTAGTGAAGACTGGTCCAGACGGCCTTATCGAGAATTCGCATCCTGAGCCGCTCACACCGGCCGATCGAGGAACGAACCTACCGCGACCGTGCCACGCATATCATCCGCGTCCAGCCAAGTCCACAGCCGATCCCACGTACCGACCCGGGAGGCATCGTCCCGCGGTCGGCCAAATCAATTTCACACGGCCAAAGCTGCGCGCGACCATACCGCGCGAACAGGAAGGCAACATCTCGCGGCCGCGTAGCACAACTCACGTAGTTTATATTCTGTTTGCTTGGGACAAGCAAAGATCTAAGTCTGGGGGAGTTGATATACCTTTATTTTACATGCTTTTTATGCTATTTTACTATGGTTTTCTAATGGTTTTCTAGTGGATTCTTGTCTTAAAAGGTAGTTTTTATGGATTTATACTGCAAAGAGTCATTTTAGGTCAAAAGGTGCATTATGGAGCAAAACAGAGGATTTGGACTTCAAACCAGTGTCACAGCTTCTACTTTGGGAGGAGCTAAAAAAGATCTACTCAATGGATTTCATCAAGACCAGTTCCCTGCGTGCTCTGATGAGTTAACTTTCCAACGCAATTGGATTGGCATCATTTGGATGAGTAGAAAAGGAGTTATGCAAAAGTGAAGACTGGTCCAGACGGCTCTATCGAGAATCGCCCGAAGCCGCGCACACGGCCGACCGAGGAACGAACGTACCGCGATCGGCCAACGCAATCATCCGTCCGCCAAGTCCACGGCCGATCCCACGTACCGACCCGGGAAGCATCGTCCCGCGGTCGGCCAATCAATCACACGCCAGCGCGCGCGACCGACCGCGCGAACAGGAAGGCAAGCCTCGCGGCCGCGCGCACAACTCACGTACCGCGGCCGACCGTCCGCGCGACCAGGAAGGCTTCGTCCCACGACCGGCCAAGATTCATCGGCCAAAACTTTCATCCGTCCGACCCGCGGCCGAACACGAAAACTCTCGGCCACGATCGTTCCGACCGTGCCGATAGCCGACCACGACCCGACGACCGGCCGACGTCCCGACCGACCGTCCGAACGCGGTCGACCCGAAGCCGTTTTTGAAGCCCGCACAATTCAAGCCCAAAGCCGGCGCCGACTTACTAGATTAGGTCTAGCCGCTTTTCATACTTAGCATTATAAATACTTCTTTTTAGCCTTGTAACTCAAGAAGGAGAGAGACCACAATTTACTTTACATCTTTAATAAAGTTTTGCTTGCTTTTACTTTGTTCTTGCTTGTTCTCTTTCTAGAGAGGATTCGAATCTCTGTTCTTATGAATATGAATTCGTTTCCTTCTCTATGTCTGAGTAGTTTACTTGTTAAGTGATAGGAAGTCAAAGGATAGCATTCATGTATGCTTGATGATCGATCACATGAATTAGGGTTTTACTTATAATCTTCATCTTTGCTTATACTTAATGCTTGTTGTTAATCTGGCCAATTAGCATATGATCTAAGGTTGATTTGAGCCTCGAAAGTGCTGTATCATTCGCCTGAACTAGTATTTGGTGGGCAACCTCTTTTAGACTGCGAAAGTTGATTTACTTGTAGGTTGTGAACAATTGAACTTAATCGAACTAATGCTTGATTTAATCACCTAGGGACATACCAAAAGTTTAGCGACTAGGGAGATTAACAAAGGGGTCGGAGACAGTGGAAAGATCATACCATAGTGTTTCGAGTTCTAGATGGCACCTAATTGCAATAACCCTAATTGATTGATCCTTGCTTCATGAATTGCTTATCTTAAGTGATGCATGAAGATAATTGGAAATATTCCAAATATTTATATTAATTATTTTATCATTTAAATTAATTATTATTATTGTTTTAGGGTTTTATGGTTTTCTTATATATAGCCGTTTAGGCTTTTGTATTAGGAAGTTGTTGATTATTAATAAAAGAGCTTAGGCTTTGAGAAGAGTATTCTCCATCATTGTTTTCGGTAGATCTAGAGAGATCTCAACGAGTTCAAGAAGCAGGTCCGAAGCGAGAATTCTATTGAATTCCTTGGTTGAGCTGGCAGGTCCCAATTAATTTCATTGAATCATTGGTTGAGCTGTGTTTATCTTAGCTTCCGCTACATCAGTTGGTATCAGAGACAGCACTTTGGTTTCTCAATCAAGGTTCGATTCTGTTCCTCTATATCATGTTGTTTCAAAGTTATCCGTTTGGTGAAGATCTCTGCAAAAATTTCAGAGAAATTGTTGGAGATCCAGTTTATGATTATTATGATGATGAAGGATTTATTCAGACACGAAAAGATGAAGCTATATTTAAGAAGTTATACGATGCTCAAGAGAAAATAAACGTGCGTTTTATTATAGCTTTTCATCCGTATGTCTCAGAAGAAAGCTACAAGTTCTTAAAGGAAATTGACAAAAGAAGAAAATATGCATGGGGAGATGGCGGCGTGGAGAAGAAAGGCATAAGGGTTTCACATCTTAAAGATGTCGTGGAGCATAGAAGAAACAAAGTCCAACTCTTTCTATTGGGCCATTTGACGACCAAAATTATTAAGGTGGAAGAAATAAATATACTTTTATTCAAAGGGTATTATCAATGGAAGATTAGAAAAAGGAAACCAAGAGTGCCATTAAAGATTCGATGACGAATTTTTTTTAACCCGGAGAATGATTCAGGAAGATAATTGGAAATATTCCAAATATTTATATTAATTATTTTATCATTTAAATTAATTATTATTATTATTTTAGGGTTTTATGGTTTTCTTATATATAGCCGTTTAGGCTTTTGTATTAGGAAGTTGTTGATTATTAATAAAAGAGCTTAGGCTTTGAGAAGAGTATTCTCCATCCTTGTTTTCGGTAGATCTAGAGAGATCTCAACGAGTTCAAGAAGCAGGTCCCAAGCGAGAATTCTATTGAATTCCTTGGTTGAGCTGGCAGGTCCCAATTGATTTCATTGAATCATTGGTTGAGCTGTGTTTATCGTAGCTTCCGCTACATCATTAAGACTATCCTATTGCTTAGCCCTCATCTCCTATTGATTTCAACCTTCTTTACTTGTTTACATTACTTGCATGCCTTTACTTTCACTGCACTCAACCAATCTCATACTGTTTGCCCTAGCTCGATCTCAATCTTATAGTTTGTAGTGTGCAATCTGGTCACTTGCATATTCAGGGATAGGAAAAGGGAAGACCTGATCCCGCGATCAAAGGCCGAGCGAAACCAACAAGTTTCCTGTCCGGCCGAGCGCGTTCGGGTGGCTGTGGACTAGTCTTCAGTTAAAACGTGATATCTCCTTAACTGCTCGTCCAAATTGCATACTTCCAACGGCATTGGAACGCTAACCCATCTTCCTATCTTGGCGTAGAGTTTCATTGAAATCCATTGTGTTTAAGGGTCCAAGCCGCTGCTGCTCGCCTGATGTACTGATGCAGTCCGATAAAGCTCCTCGGTATATGTCTCAGGGAAATAGAGATATCTCCCATTCTACTCGATCAAATGGATTAATTCCAGTTGCGTTGCAAAGCTAACTCACGTATGCATCACGTCAAACTGTATTTTATGAAGTCCATTGAGTAGAATGTTTTTAAGGCCCTTATAAAGTTGATGCTACGTCCTGGAGCGGTCTTGAAGTCCATATCTTGTGTTTTGCTCCAAAATGCATCTTTTGACCTGTTTAGACTCTAAGTACTATAAATACATAAAAACTACATTTTTAGATCAGAAATCCATTAAAAACCTTATGAAAAGCATAGTAAAACCATATAAAAAGCATGTAAAATAGAGATATATCAACTATGACCTTGTTTCCCAGCAAATTTGAAAATGGAAAGATTGAGTACAAGATAAGGTACAAAGGGAGATCAAGACCATTCTCTAGAGCCAAGGCCTTGGTCACTTCAGAGCAGTCCAGGGTCCCAACCAAGCTAAAGGAGCTCCTATCCCAAGTCCTCACTATCACCCTTGATGTTGAGACTAGCTCAACCAATGCCTAAGAGGTAAAGGTCAAGCTATGGGACCTTAAACAAGCTCACTTGGGAGGAAGTCCCATGACTATGATTGTACATATTCTTTATTGCAATTTCTCTCTAGTGTTTTGTGTCTTAACCTTTCAGGAAGATTAAGTTTAGGTGACAAGAAGCCAGCTCGACCGACAGCTTGATCGAGCCAGAAATAACTCGATCGAGTTCCACAACTCGACCAAGGTAAAATTTTTGAATTTCAAATTTTTAACCGTTTCCTTGTTCAAGGGGGTAGGTCCCACATGTAAATTTTGGTTCCCCACTTTACTATTTCGATCAGAAAAACCCCTAGCTTTTGTCCCCTCTTTAAACCATCTTTTAATCCTCACCACACATCTCAAACACCCCCTCTTCCCCATAACTCGATCGCACAACCCCTCTCTCTCTCCCACACTCAAAATTTTCTGAAAATCTTTCATCTCTCTCCTTTCTCTCTAAGGAAATCCGAAAATCTCTCATCCTCCCTTGAGTTTTTGCGATTTCCCCTTGCTCATTGTCTTGAATTGCTTTAGTTTCTAGCTACTGTTCTAGTTTAATCATCATCCAAGCAAGGTATGAACCCTAAACCCCTAAAATCCTTAGGTTCGATTCCTCTCTATTGCATGTTGTTCTCTTGAATTTTGATTGCATGTGTCCCTTGAGGACTTGTTCTTGAGTAATTGTTTTCATATCCATCTCCTGCTTATAAAATTTTGTGAACTTGCCTCACTTCACCTCTGTTTTGCCCTTAAACTTGTTGCATGTGCTTAAAACCTTTGAATTTGAGTTTGGTATTGGTTAGGATGATTTAATCTTCACTTGAATTGCTTATTGTTCCAAGTTCTTGATGTTCTTAGATCAATTTGATTGTTTAGCATCCTATCCAGCTCTTACTACTTGATTTAGATTCGGTTTTACTCTGTTTTCACCCAGCTCGATCGAGTTTCTCACTCGAGTTTCTCACTCGAGTTTTTTTACTCGATCGAGCTGTGTGTCGAGTTGACCGAATCGATCTTTACAACTCTAACTCTTTCGAATCTTTGATGAATTTCAGGAACCTTAGTTGGAAAAGCAACATAACAAAGATCACAAGCAGTGAGGGAAGCCGTGCTTCGCAGAGTAGAATGGTTGAGGTGAATCAAGCAATGCAATTGAAAGGAGGCGAAAGTTGCAAGCCGATTTGGAAGGAATGAATCAGAGGATTGAAGTTTTTGAGGCTGAGGGGTATAATCAAGCAGAGTTGGAATCTGAGAATGAAAGATTGAGGGAAGAGAGAAGGACCAAGAAGAGGAATGACCCAATAAGTAGTGAGAGCGAAGAAGGAGAGTTTGAGATTGGGGTCAATCATGGAGAAGAGGAAAGTGATGGCTCTCCAAGCGAAGAAGGAGAAGAGGTTAATCAAGATATTGATGAGGATAACCAAGATGAGCCAATGGAGGAGGCTGAGCCACAAGAAGTGGAGGATGAACTCCCCATGTTTCAAGAGCACTACAATGCTCTCTTCTCTATGGACTTTGTGGAGACCAAGTACCCACATGATGATACAATGAAGGCGCTTGGGATCTTCAAGGATGTGGAGCTAGTGCTTAAGAACATGCACTTGGCCAAGTTCTTCTCTCATCGCATGGAATCATACAAGGAGCTCACTTGTGAGTTATTGGCATCGATGAGGTACCACGAGTATGATGAGCTCGATCGAGCTGACTTGGACCAAGGCTGGGGATGGATAATATTCTTGGCAAAGGGAGAAAGGAAGATTATCACCTTTAGGCAGCTAGAGATCTTGTTTGGCTTCACATATGGGGAAGGAACCATTGGGATATCAAGGAGAATGAGCTCCAAAGTGTGTGGGCTACAATCGCTGAAGGTGAGTTCTCTTCTTTAAGATCCAAGGCTGCTCAGATAAGGAGTCCTGTGCTGAGATATGTGCACAAAGCCTTGCCAACACCTTCTTTGCAAGGAAAGCAACAGGGACAATCAATGAAGGAGAAGTCAAGCTACTTGACATGGGGATTAAGCCCATCATCTCACGCACCAGGGATGGAAAGAAGCTCAGAGGAGATAGAGCACACGCAGGAAACCTCATTCCCCTCTGATGGCTACATCTAGGGATGAGTACAAGTAATAATTCCCTAAGACAACTAGTGTTGCAAGTGCACAACATATAATTGTAGTATTTAGGGGTCGAACCACAAGGGATTGGATTTCACACATTACATAATCATAGAGTTTAAATGACTAAGCTAAATCAAAAGATGCAAGGGTTTGTGTTTGTTTAGAACACGCAAAAGAAATAACAATGCAATTCTATACAAGCAACATTATTGAACTATTGAAAACTCTTTTGAAAACATGAGCCAAGTCGATTGAAAAGTTTGTTAAAATCCGATTCTTTTGAACTCAAAACACTAAGGAAGGATTATTCCACTTTCGTGGTTCCAATCCCCTATGTCTCTTAAACCAATGGGCTCAGCTTTCGTTGGTCATTGTAGAGTGAGACATGCATTACATCCAAGTAATGATTGTTCACAAAACTCTTTAGGTCTACTTTCGTAGCCTAAAACGATTTGCCCATCAAATACTATGTCCGGAGATATAACAAGCTTTTGGAGAGTATATCAACCTAAAATCAAGTCACTAGTTAGCTACTCTAGCAACAGCATTAAGCATAAATAAAGATGGAGAACCATAGGGTTTCCCCTTTTAACAATCGATTTTCGATGGCCATTATATCACGTCCTCATTGGAAGGATCCATAATTCAACAATGAGTCTTAGATAGTAGATGAAGTCTCATGAATCCTTAGAGAGAGAGGCGGCGGAATATGAGACTAAACCGCCTCACCCTTAGGGAGAAATCTCTACTTCTAGACTATATAAATTGAAACATGCAAGCTATATACAAATGCAAAAGAAGAAAAGAAAGAAGAAGGAGACCACCTAAGTGGCTCCGAACTTTATTGAATAAGTGTTTCTTGTTATGCGGCTGGTGATTCTTATTACAAGAGGCTAAAAGCAAGTATATATAGGTAGAGAGCGGGTCTAGGTCGGCAAAGTTGAGCGCGCGCAGAAGAGGAAAGTTTCCATTTCTCTTTAGCCGCTTGAGCTTGCTCTCCAAGTTCTTGAATGGGCCGCGTTCAGGCCAATGGAAGCTTCTGGATTGAGTTATGCTAGTGTCAAGACGAGCCAAGGCCTTGGGCGCGGTATCTCGGGCCTCTTGATCCATCAAAGTCTCCATGGGCTCTACTTAGGCGCTCGTCGGACATGTCTTGGTAGAAAATAAGTTCCGGTCCAACGAGTGATCCAAATGACCTCTTTCCACTTCGCCGCGGGTCATGACTCAAATATCTATCTTTCCATATAAGAATCATGACTTTTGGACGTCGGGAAGGCATGAATATGCGGTCGTACTTCGGATGCTCCGGTTTGGTCTTTAGCGAGAAATGTAGATTTTGGTGCTCTAGACTTGGGAACTTGGTGATTTGACTCTTTTTGCTCCATTTTGACTCTTCTTTGCTATTTTGACCTGAATGATGCTCAAAACCAGAATATACAAGAAAACTACCTCTTGGGCTTAAAAACCACATTATTTGTATTAAAAACATAGTGAAAACCTTGATAAAAACATGAAAGATATGGATATATCACCCTCCTCGATCAACTACTCTCCTACAGCACCACAGCCTATAGCACTCAATTTCAACAAGAAGAAGGCTAAGTGTTGGAGGGATCATTACATCAATCCTCTGCACAGCTGGTGTCCAGCTAAACAAGAAGAAGACCAACCTCCTCATTGATCACAAGGAAGTGGATGGGAAATATCAATTCAAGTTCACACATCCCACGGCTGGCCCTTCCAAGCTACTCCTGCCCAACCCTGAACTCACCACAGTCATCAGGGGTGAGAACATTGACTTTCGCCCCCCAACAGTCATCAGGTCTCTGGTTCCAAGACACCCATGGCTTCTACATTCCCTAGGAGTATCCTCCTCACCACCCAAGGAGACTCCCTGCCCAAGAGCCTCACAGAGCCTCATCATTTGAGCCAAGGGAAGAAGGAGACAACACGCAGAGAGGAGGAAGAGTTCCAAGGCCGACGCTCCAACTCGACCACCGGACTCGATCGAGTCCAAACAGAGGAAACTCAACTCGATCGAGCTGATGGTCGAGTTGACCTGGAGGAGCCCTATTCGAGAATCCTGGATTTGAGTACGATCCAGCACCTTACCAGGACTATCCCAGAGCATGGAACCCTATACGGCAGTTCGAGCGAGCCAAGCTCCACCAAGGCCAAGGAGCCACACACACTTCAAGGAAGAAGAAGAGGAGCCACAAGCTCGATCGAGCGCAGGAGTGCGAGTGGAGTGCTCCTGATGGCCGTCTCCCTCTCCAGACCACGACCTTGCCTCCCAGTTCTTTGGGGGCACTGAGGTATCAAACACCAACCCTTGTATATACCATTTCATATTTTCTTGCATTTGTTCTTTTTTTCTTGGTTTTTGCCCTCTTGAATCTTTCACTGAATTTCTCTCACACAAGGGACTGTGTGATTTAAGTTTGGGGGAGGGTTCAAGAGATGATTTAACCTTGTTTTCTTTGTTCTTAGTTTTTCATTTATTTGCATAGAAAAACCAAAAAAATCATAAAATTTTCAAAAAATCCAAAAATATTTTCATCTTTTTGCATTCATATTTGTTAGATTGTTTAGGATTGCATTTCACTTGCATTGTTGATTTGACTTTGAAAACTTGTTCATCATTTGCGATTTCTTGAGTGCCCTGTTTTTAGATTCTTTTGTGCATTAGGGTGAGATTGATTGAGCAGCAAGAACCATGTTTATCTTGATCATATCACTGCATGCACATCTCATTCAACCATTGCTGTGATTTGATGCATTTCCCTATCTATTTGAACCATAACTTGATCTTTAATTACCAATGCTTGCATTTGATTTCAACTCATGGCTACCACATACATATCTGGACATTCTTTACCTATTTTCATATCCCTTTTGCTTGTCCAGATAGCTGATCTCCATCTTTGAGACAGTTACCACACCTTAAACCTAAGCCTTTTCATTTCAAACCCCATATTATCTCTTGTGCGAATTGTGAGAACCTTTCTTGGCTTTGCTTAGCATAAGGTGTTGTGTTTAAACCGGCAGGGGCAGTAGTTCTAGTTGTCTAGTTCTCTTGGGATTGTTTTCAGGCTAAGTTTGGGGGTGCCAACTCGAGCTCGATCGAGTTGGGTGTCAAAAACCAGAAAAGTGGTAAAAGTTGGGAAAACCCAAAGGAAAAAGAGTTTAGTTAAGTCCAGGGAGTTGGCAGTTTAAAAAGGGTCTAGTAAAGGTTTGGGAAGTTAAAAAAGGAAAGTAAAAAGGGTTCTAAGTAGAATGAAAAGAAGGCAAAGCCTCAAGTGTCAAAAAGAAAGAAAAGTTCCCTAAGTGTTTAGAAAATCCCAAACCGCTAGATGTTACCTCAAGAAGCCTCTCCCTAGGAAGTTCTTAAAAGAAAAGTGAGCAAAGCTCCTCAGTTTCAAAGGCGAAATGCCAAAAAGGGTAGTTAGGATTTTGTTCTAAAAAGCTCTAAGTGTTGAACTCGATCGAGTTAGGATTAGGCGGCTCGAGCTGCTGTTCTTGCATCATCTTTGGTTCTAACACTTAGCCTTCTGCCAAAGCAAAGCCACTTTCTTGAGAGATCCCTGTTACTAAACCACCATACAAAAGAGACCCTCTTTGTCTCTTAACCCATAAACCCTTGAAACCAAATGAGTTGATTGATCTTGCATGTTTTTGGTTCACTGTTTTTGCTTAATGAATGTTAAAGGGATTTGCTGATTTGAATGCATTGTTTGAGTGACTGTGAAGTGGGATTGATGTTGATAAGCATGGTTAAATCTTAATGAATATCTCTCACCTTGTTGCATTCTAGAATCTCTAAGTTGGACATTTAGCAAATCGCTTTTGAGGACATGTTTTTAAGTGTTGAATCAACTTGTTTTCAAACCTTAGCTTTTCTTTAATTTGTATCTTTACTTTTTGCAACCCTAAACCTCTCTTTGTGTTCTTGAGCTTCATGCTCATTGAACCTTAGATCTAGGTTTATTTACTTTGTATTTGCACTTGCTTATTTCAATAAAAGTTCTTTAGTTTCATCTCCTCTTTCATTTAAGTCTATTTCATTGCATTTGATTGTGTTTATTCATGTGTAGTGAGTTACCTTTAGGGTCCAAGATGGGCTAGATTAGAGGATCCTTATGCTTAATCTCTTTTGCTTATGTTCTTAATCTAGAAATCTCTCTCTTTTGGACAAACCTTAAGGCTACATGACCACTACCCCTGGCTTGTATGTTCATAGGCGATTTTCCACATGGAAGTGTTGGGAAATCGCTTGAAAAGGTCCACTAAGAGCTCCAATAAACCTTGCTCTCGAAATGGAGTTCATAGGTGTTGGATGGATTAGTTTGAGCAATGATCCTACTGCCTCCAAGGCTTGACTCTGACTGGCTAACCCCCTGTTTCTGAGATCTTGCCTTGGATTGATAGCTTTCACCTTGGGAAAGGGCTAGCTAGGCATTGAGAAGCTCAATATCAAGAGATACCTTAATACAAGTTGTTTAAGAGCAAGATTGATTAAGTATAGTCTTCCCCTAGTTGTAAGACCCTGTCTTAGACCCTAATATTCGCATTAGCTTGTTAAAGTTCCTGCCTTTATCGCTTTTTACGCTAACTCGACCCTCAACTCGACCGAGCTTTGGTCGAGCTGCTTGCTTTACTGCTTTCTATTACTTATTGCACTGCATTTCATTTCTTTAGGTTGTTAGAGTCACTTATCACCTATTTTATTGTCTGCTTGACTTTCTTGTGATTGCATATTCTCATAGAGCATCGTTTCACCCTTTTAGATTAATAACCCCTTATACTACATCGACTATGATGGTTAAGGGGAATTGATTGATTGTGATTGTGTTTGCACCATACCATCCCATCTTCATTTACCACTGTTGCATTCCACCTCATATAATTTCATATTTCACATCACACACAAATCCTATCATCACCTATCAAACTCATCAAGGTGATCTATTGGGTCTTCACTTGAGAGCCAATGGAACATATTGTTCTGCACAAGATTGATCATTCCCAGCTTGATCTCAAAGTTGTGGTTCTGGACAGGAGGAGGAACAATCCCTTGTCTTTGCTGGTGGCGATTTGGGGCATCTCCAAGTCCAATGGGTCGAGTTTGCCTTACTCGACCCTGTCCATTACCTAAAGGGTTTCCATTACCCTCTGGATCAGCCATAGTATCTGTAACAAACACCTCTAGCTCTTCTTTCTTTGTTTCCTGCCTATGTTAATGTCTAACTCGACCAAGTCCTCAGTAGATGAGCTCGATCGAGTTCGCATACACCTGCAAAACAGTAAAAAAACCCAGCAGTACAAACAACATAGGTGGGATAGTACTTGATCGTCCAAGTGATTTGGAAACTCAAATGCAACTGTATTCAAACCCAAATGGCAACGGCGCCAAATTGATGACAGGATTTGATGGTGATATGGAATGAAAATAATGATATGATATGAGATGGATGCAACAAGTGTGAATGGTAATGAGATGGTATGGTGAACAGATGCAATCACAGTCAATCAATTCCTCTTAATCATTATAGTCGATGCAGCATAAGAGGTTATCAATCCATAAGGATTTGTTGTCACTATATGAGAATATGCAAACACAAGAAAGTCAAGCCAAATAGATAAAGGAGGATGAGTCAAGCTAAGAATGCATGAACTAAACCAGAAACAAGCAACTGTAAGGCAGCTCGACCTAGGGCTCGATCGAGTAGAAACAGAGCAAGTCAGCACGATCGATTTGGGGGTCGAGTTAGTGTAAAAATAGAGCAAAGCGAATGAAAAGCAATAAAGGTGCAAACTTTAAACTACTAAGGCGAAGATATAGCATCTTTCAGGAACTTCTGGTAAGGAGGGATGAGCATTAATGCATCAATAAAAGGCAGCTTCAGGTCAATCTCCTTCATGAGTTTATCAAACTTAGCCTTGTGCTTTTCCATTAGCTGTTTTTTTAACCTTCATGGGAAAGGCAAAGGAGGTTTGTAAGCTGGTGGCACAAATGGAGTGTCCTTCTTCTTGCTGGAAGGCTTAGGAGGCGAACTAGGATTGGCTTTCTCGGCTGGTTAGTCGCTTGATCGAGCTCAGTCTGAACTTGTTCACGTTCAGGGGCTTGATCGAGTTCAGTTTAATTGTTTGGCTCTGGCTTGATCGAGTTGGGTGCAGGGATTTTCTCCATCTCAACCAAATCCTCCCCTTCCTTATCATCGATGTCCACAGCGATTTGAGTTGAACCATCTCTGTTAAGGAGTAGTCTACCACTTCTTAACATCACTGCATGGACATACTCCTTTTGTGATGAAGTAAAAGGGGCACTAGATGATTCAATTGTCTAAACTCTTGAATGCGGTGACTCAATCTTAGTGTTTATCTCAGCTAGCTTGGTACTCATATCAATCGCTCCTTTGGCCTGTCCTTGTAGAAGTTGTTGTAAGATTGCTTTCATGTCCAGTTCCCGACCAGCAGTAGGTTGAGGTGGTAAAGGGGCGAAGCTATGTGGTACACTCTGTGGTTGCCTTTGAAAACTTGTTTGGTATCCCTAGAAGTTTCCTTTATGACCATAACCAAACTGTGGAAACTGACTCGATGCAGGCTGGTGCTGGGAAGGGTAAACTTGATCTTGAGGACTAGCAACATCAGTGTTCCTATAAGAAAAGTTGGGATGAGTCTTATAGGTGTAATAACCTTTCTGATATCCTCCTTGGCCATTCTGAATGTAGCAAACATCTTCAATCTGATTCTCCTCCCCTTCTTGGACTTGTACTAACTCTTCACCGGAAATAAAGTTCACCTTTGTCAGTGGGGATTGCGCCAAGATCAGCTTGTCTAACTTGTCATTGAGCACTTTCATATCCTTTCTCAATTTCTCCTCTGACTCGATCGAGCTCCGATTAGTACGATCATACTCTTCCCCATAACTCCCATTTGAGTTAGCAATGTTCTCTACAAGCTGCCATCCATCATCCACATCTTGATTGAGGAAGTTTCCATTACTAGATGTGTCCAGCATCTCTCTGTATCTAGGAAAAACTCCTCTGTATAGAGTGGAAAGCAATGACTCATTGTTGAAGCCATGATGAGGGCACTGACTTGTATAGCCTTTGAATCTCTCCCAAGCTTCAGCAAATGTCTCATTATTCTTCTGTGTGAAACCAAAAATCTAACTCCTCATCTTAGCAGTGCGATCAGTAGAGAAGAACTTGGCAAGAAATGCCTTCTTGCAATCATCCCAAGTAGTGGGGTAAACTCTTCTTCCATTGATGGGCCTTCTCACCAAGAGATAGTGGAAAGAGGCGCAGCTTAATAGCATATTCAGAGACATAATTGATCTTTGTCAAATCACACAGCCTATTAAACTCACTCAAGTGATCAATGGGATCTTCACACGACAATCCATGAAACATCTTGTTCTGCACTAGATTGATCATTCCCATCTTGATTTTGAAGTTGTGGTTCTAGACGGGTGGAGGCACAATCCCTTGCCTTTGGTGGTGTGTATTTGGGGCATCTCCAAGCCCAATAGGTCGGCTCTACCTAGCTTGACCATTCCTATTGTTAGGAGGGATTCCATTACCCTGTGGCACATCCGTTCTATCAGTAACTGTCACCTCTTGCTCGGCCTGATGTCTTTGGTTCTTCTTTCTCTGTTTTTTTTTTCCAATGTTGATATCTAACTCGACCAAGTCCTCTGTGGAAGAGCTCGATCGAGTTCGCATACACCTGAAAAGAAAAAGTCAAAAACCCAGCAGATAGAACAAGCAACAAGAGATGTGGTATAATACTTGATCGTTCAAGCAAATTGGAATCTTAAATGCAACAAAACAAATCCCAAAAAAAAAAAAAAAAAAAAAAAAAAAAAAAAAAAAAAAAAAAAAAAAAAAAAAAAAAAAAAAAAAATCTTAAATGCAACAAAACAAATCCCAAATGGCAAGGGCGCCAAATTGATGAGAGGATTTTCCTGTGGGTGATGATATGGAATGAGATAAGGTGGATAACTATGATAAATGAAAGACATGTCAGATTAAAGTTATGCAATTCCTCTATGCAGCATCATGTCAATGTAGTACAAGAGGTTATCAATCCATAATGGGAAATGATTGTTGCTCTATAAGATTATGTAAATGCTTGGAAGTCAAGCCAAATGATTTAAAGGTGATGGATGTAACCTAATGAAATGAAATGCAAGTAAACAGTAAATGTGAATCTAAACAAAGCAGTGAATGCAAGAAACTAGACAGAGATAAGCGAATGCAGATGGGCTCGATCGAGTTGGTACAAAAACAGAGAGGAAATGAACTCGATCGAGCTAGGCTTAAAACAGAGTAAAAACAGGGGAAACATAGCAAATGCAAATGCTAAGAAATAAAGATGCGGTTTTTAGACTAGAATGATAATGATTAGGCTTAAATATGGGGTTTTGCAACTAGGAGAAGGTTATACTTAATCAATGATGCTCTTAAACAGCTTGTACTCAAGCTAATCTCTTGGTTTTGAACTTCTAAAGGCTGATTAACCCTTTCCCAAGGTGAAAATCATCAATCAAGGGGGTCAGCCAGTGAAATCAATCCTTGAAGGTTATAGAAACTTTGTTCAAACTCACCCTTTAGCACCCATGAACTGTCACTTTCGTGAGACAGGCATGCTAAAGCTCTTAGTGGGCTTGTTCAAGTGATTATCAACTCATTTACATGATGATAATCACATAAAATCAAACACACCATGGATAGTGGTTGTGTCGCATAAAGCCTAGCCCAAAAGAGAGAGATTTCTAGATTAAGAACACTAAGCAACAAGGATTAAGTATAAACAACTCCTAATCTAACCCATCTCTAACCCTAATGATGGAACTACTCAGTAAACATGATGAAGGAACCAACAAAACTTAATGAAATAAACATCAATAGATAAAGGGAAGCAAGATAAACAACTTTATTAGAGATAAGCAAGTACAAATTCGCAATAACAAAGCCAAGATCTAAGATCCAATGAGCAAAAGCTTAAGAACACAAAGAAGTGGCTAAAAGCTAAAAGAACAAAGGAAAATTAAAAGATTAAGCAAAAGTTGTGATTAATTCGTGGTTCTTTGCCTTTTATAGGAAACAAACTAGTGTTTAAGGTCAAAGGAGGTCAAAGGGAAGCTAGTCGTCTTTTGGCCGGTCGAGCTAGTGTAATGTTGGAAAATTTTGGCCAAGCTCGATCGGTTGGTCGAACGGCTGGGTCGAGCTGGACATAAAGGCGCCACCTTTGGACATCCTGAGCTGCGCGATCGAGTGGTGGTCCATGCAAGCTCCTTCCTTGCTCCTCAAGACTCAAATGCTCCAAAATGCTCCATAATGACCTGATTAAGGCTCAAAAATGTACATGTATGCAAGATCAAGCCTAATGCACTAAGAATGAAAATGAAGAAGAAAACAACAAGATATGATGCTAATGAAGAGTGAGAGTATGCAAAAGTAGTACAAAAGATGTACTAAAAACATGTAAAATATGAGTACATCATCACTGCAGATACTATTAAATGTCTAAATGAATAAATTAAGAAATTTTTCCAAGCTATACAGATTATATTTCCATTCGAATATGTGATGGTGATCAATTCTGAAATCTCCGAAACCCTAGGCATAAGTGAAACTACCTACGTACATTATAAATAGGTAGTCATTGTCACAATAAATGTTATCAAACAGAGAAGTTTTACCCTAGATTTGTAGAAATGACTATTGGTTCCGCATTCACCAAGCTTGCTGATGTGAGATCTTTCAAGTCATCTTGGAAGGTTCGCGTTAAGGTTCTTCACTCCTGGAGCCAGTTTAGCGGCATGTCCGGTGAAACAATGGAGCTGGTTCTCGCAGATGAACATGTAAGTTGACAATCTGTAGTTCATTTGATTCTTAATCAAAAGTTTCAGTTTGGGTTATGACATAAGAGTGCCGTATATATTTTCAAGAAGAAGGATATAGGCCACTTATCAAATGAGTTGCAAGATGGGGAATGGAAAGTGTTGGAGAACTTTACCTTATCTCCCGCAACCGGACAATTTCGACCAATTAGTAGCAAGTGGAAGATGTCGTTGTTTATGAACATGGTGGTAAGCAAATGCACCATCAAATGTGAAGACATATTCCTTTCATTGGTACCTATCCAAAGGATCCTAGATCGTGGTTTGAATCACAATTTCTTGATTGGTAAGTAAACTAAGGTGATTATAATCTACATTATTAAACGTACAAATTGGGCAACTTACATATCCTTCTTGGAAAATTGTCTATATCTTTTGCATATGTCATGGGACAGGTTCTTGATGTGAGTGAGATCAGATCTGTCCCGGTACCTGAGGCAGAAGCTTTCATGCATGGGTTAGTAATATGTTTAAATTTGATTTTGATATAGTTTTGTCTTTGTCAGAATATATGATCTCAGACTAACCTATTAATTGATACTACAGTTTTCCAGATGATGGTGCGATTATTTTCATCAAAGAGGATGATCAAGAGAAAGTGAAATAGAGGATAAAAGAGAAGGAAGAATAGTGGCTGGCGTTGGACACAAAATCGGTATATGACATTCAAAATGCTACCGAGGTCTATACTATGATGTACTTATATGTATTCTTGCAGCATACTCAAGGTAAAATATCTTGTGCGATAAGAGAATGATTTACTTACCTTAGAAATAATATCTCATGGCAGGTTGAGAAATTCAGGATTTTCTGCAAAGTTTATGGAATAGATACGGACTGGGGTTGGTACTATTTCGGATGTGGAAAGTGTCAATACAGATTTACCAAAGATCTGAAGAAGGAAGCACCCACCAAACCACGTCCCAATGTACCTATATGGTACTGCGACAGATGCAAAACAAATGTCAAAATCTTGTCACTAAAGTGAGTACTTCTAATACATTTTGTCAATCGAATTTGATACATAGTATATGAGATAATGTAAGTATTTTAATAACATGGAATATTGTCACATACAGGTTCAAGCTGCTCCTTCTGGTTGAGGATGAGACAGCGAAAAGGTTATGTTGCTTGACATAGTTGCAGCTGGGTTTGTGACAAAGACAGCATCATTTCTGCTAAACGGATCCTATGATGAGGTAATATCATAATCTGAAGCTAACAAATATAGTTTTGAACATAGTCATCTTTTTACTAGAAGCATATCTATTATTTGAAAACAGATTTAAGATCCAGACTTATTACCTGATGCCATCAGGAGCTTAGTTGGAAACAGCTACGAGTTTCTAATGTACTTGCATTTTACATAGTTTTAGTACATATTTTATGCATCTTTTACATAGTTTTAGCATTCATTAGCATCATATCTTGTTCCTTTTCCTTTCTTATGCATACATTGTAGTTTTATGTTGCATTTGCATACATGTGCATATTTGATCCTTAAACAGGTCTATTTGGAGCACTATGGAGCACTTGGGACATGAGGACCAAGGAAGGACATCGTGCTTGGAGCTCAGCTTGACCGCGCATGCTCAGAGTGAAGAAGGAAGCCGCCTATGAAGCCAGCTCAACCAACCCGCGCGACCAACTGGTCGAGCTAGGCCAAATTCCAACTTTGCACTAGCTCGACCGGCCAAGACCAACTCGATCGAGCAGCTTTCTAGGGGACAAGAATCCAAAAAATGTTGCTTCCCTTTGACCCTAAACCTAATCTCTTTACTATTTAAAGGCTTGTAGCCACGAATAAAAGACAACTTTCTTTCTGCTTAATTTATCTTTAGCTTCTATTTAATCTTGTAATTTGATTTACCTTTATACTTTTTAGCCTCTCTTTATGTTCTTGAGCTCATGCTCATAGAACCCTAGATCTAAGCTTTGTTATTGTGTATTTGCACTTTGTTATTTCAATAAAAGTTGTTTATCTTCATCTCCTCTATCTTTTAATGTCTCCTTTATTGCATCTGATTGAGTATTTCGCAATGTGTAGTGAGTAGTTCCCTTTAGGGTTTAAGATGAGATAGGTTAGAGGTTGTTTATGCTTAATCTCTCTTGCTTTATGTTCTTAATCTAAAATCTCTCTCTTTTGGGTTAAGATTAAGGCTGCACAACCACTATCCATGGTGTGTAAGAGTCTAGGCGATTTTCCTCATGGGAATGAATGGGAAATTGTTTGAACAAGTCCGCTAAGAGCTTCAACATGCTTGCCTCACGAAATGGGGTTTATAGGTGTTGAATGGGTGAGTTTGAACAAAGGTTCTAAGGCCTCCAAGGCTTGATCTCACTGGCTGACCCCTTGTTTCTGAGATCTTGCCTTGGCTGATAGCTTTCACCTTGAGAAAAGGTTAGCTAGGCTAAGAAGTTCAATACCAAGAGATAGCTTGAGTACAAGTTGTTTAAGAGCAAGATTGATTAGGTATATGCTCCCTCTAGCTGAAAAACCCTGTCTTTAGCCCTAATCTTCATCTTAGTAGCTTAAAGTTTGCACCTTTATCATTTTGCATTCGTATTCCTCTGTTTTTGCACTAACTCGACTCACAACTCGATCGAGCTGTAATGCTCTGTTTCTACTCGATCGAGCTCTAGGTCGAGCTGCATTGCAGTTGCTTGTTTCTTGTTTTTTTTCATGCATGCATAGCTTGTTTCATATTCGCATTGCACTTTCATTTCATTTAAGGTTGTTAGAGTTACTTCCATCATCATTTTACTATTTTGCTTGACTTTCTTGTGTTTGCATATTCTCATAGAGTGACAACAAAA